TCCTCATGTATTTCCAGGTGAATATAAGCAAGTTTCTCTAGGTTATTTAAAGTAGAAATTGCTAAGTAATAGTAAATAAGAAACTTCAGTTTTGCTATAATAAGTATTGAAAAATTATCTCCCAAAATGGTTGTCCTCTCAAACCAGTATAAAGAGTTTCTCCGTGTTCTTGCCAAATGTGGTGTCCTTTTCCAGTTGGGGGATTCTTGCTAAACTGATGTAAATGAAATTCTCATTGTCTTGACTCCATCTCCCTGTTGACCATAAGACTTCAAATTTACTTTTGTAAACGATTCAATTTTTTTCTTCTGTGATGTCTGTCATGTCTTTTTGTTCAATTGTCTATGGATTCGACTTTTTCCTATTTCAGGCATTCCCAATAGAGTGTAGATATCAACTAAAGTTGATTAGACTTCATTTTTAAGTGTGGTATTTGTTGGCATTTAATCTAGTTGAGAGAGTGTATCTACATGGAAATTTTGTTTATATCTATTAAAATAATTATGAGTTTTTCCCTCTCATTGTTTCAATGTGATTCATTGCAGTGATAGATTGTCTGATGTTGAGCCATCCTTGAAGTCTTGGAATAAATTTTAGTTATTCTTAAGTTGATTTTAATACTAATTTATTTAGTACTTAGTGAGTTTGGGTTAAAGTTTCTTACACAAAACTGGGCTTTATTTTTATTTCATTGTTTGATCTTTCTGTGGTTTTCATATCAAAATTACACTATCCTCTGAAAATGAGTAAAGTAGTTTTTCTCTTTTTCTATCCTCTGAAACTTCACTAAAATTTTCTCATAAAACATAGTGGACGAAAAGGAGAGAGATGCATTGAGTGTGGAGGTGGGTGTGAGTACTATTGATTTGAGCCCTTTAATGGTTTGTTGGCCTACTAGTCTTTCTAGTTCATCAGTCACTGTGATAATTTTATATTTCCCTACTAATTTGCCAAATTTCCCTAAAATTTCAAATTTATTGGCAGAGAGCTGATCTTAATATTTTCTTAGATTTCTAAAAATCTGAAACAAACTGTAGTTTTGTCCCCTTTCGTATCTGTAATTTGTGTGTGTGTGTACGGATATGCGTGTGCCTTCCCTCATTGTCTTGATCAGTCATGCTTAAGTGTGGTGTGATATTAATAGACCTACCTAAGCTTTCTTCTGGAAAGTTTACACTCTTTCTCCATTGATACGGGAGCTTTGGTTTATCTGGTAGTTTTTAGTAGCATTAGCAAGATTTTTGCAACATCCAGTCAGATACTCTCCATTTTCTTTACAGTAGACTAAGCTATGTGCATTTTTTGTGATTCTTGATCAGTCTGGACTTTTTCCTATTTTATGTTTTAGACTTACCATACAACTTCCTTAAGTGCATTTTTTCCTTTCCTGCCTTCTTAATATTTAAGCTTTCTCATTTAGTATTTTCCTTCTACCACTTAGAAATAGAGGAAAACAACAGAATGGGAAAGACTAGAGATCTCTTCGAGAAAATTAGAGATACCAAGGGAACATTTCATGCAAAGATGGGCACAATAAAGGACAGAAATGGTATGGGCCTAACAGAAGCAGAAGATATTAAGAAGAAGTGGCAAGAATACACAGAAAAACTGTACAAAAATGATCTTCATGACCCAGATAATCACGATGGTGTGATCACTCACCTAGAGCCAGACATCCTGGAATGTGAAATCAAGTGGGCCTTAGGAAGCATCACTATGAACAAAGCTAGTGGAGGTAATGGAATTCCAGTTGAGCTGTTTAAAATCCTAAAAGATGATGCTGTGAAAGTGCTGCACTCAATATGCCAGCAAATTTTGAAAACTCAGCAGTGGCCACAGGACTGGAAAAGGTCCATTTTCATTCCAATCCCAAAGAAAGGCAATGCCAAAGAATGCTCACACTACCACATAATTGCACTTATCTCACACACTAGGAAAGTAATGCTCAAAATTCTCTAAGCCAGGCTTCAACAATACATGAACCGTGAACTACCAGATGTTCAAGCTGGTTTTAGAAAAGGCATAGGAACCAGAGATCAAATTGCCAACACCCGCTGGATCATCGAAAAAGCAAGAGAATTCCAGAAAAACATCTATTTCTGCTTTATTGACCATGCCACAGCCTTTGACTGTGTGGATCACCACAAACTGGAAAATTCTGAAAGAGATGGGAATACCAGACCACCTGACCTGCCTCTTGAGAAATTTGTATGCAGGTCAGGAAGCAACAGTTAGAACTGGACATGGAACAACAGACTAGTTCCAAATAGGAAAAGGTGTACTTCAAGGCTGTGTATTGTCACCCTACTTATTTAACTTATATGCAGAGTACATCATGAGAAACGCTGGGCTAGATGAAGCACAAGCTGGAATCAAGATTGCCGGGAGAAATATCAGTAACCTCAGTTGACACCACCCTTATGGCAGAAAGTGAAGAAGAACTAAAGAGCCTCTTGATGAAAGTGAAAGAGAGGAGTGAAAATGTTGGCTTAAAGCTCAACATTCAGAAAACCAAGATCATGGCATCTGGTCCCATCACTTCATGGCGAATAGATGGAGAAACAGTGGAAATAGATGGAAACAGTGGCTGACTTTATTTTTCTGGGCTCCAAAATCACTGCAGATGGTGATTGCAGCCATGAAATCAAAAGACGCTTACTCCTTGGAATGAAAGTTATGACTAACCTAGACAGCATATTAAAAAGCAGAGATAGTACTTTGCCACCAAAGTCCATCTAGTGAAGGTTATGGTTTTTCCAGTAGTCATATACGGATGTGAGAGTTGGACTATAAAGAAAGCTGAGCACTGAAAAATTGATGCTTTTGAACTGTGGTGTTGGAGAAGACTCTTGAGAGTCCCCTAGACTGCAAGGAGATCCAACCAGTCCAGCCTAAATGAAATCAGCCCTGAATATTCATTGGAAGGACTGATATTGAAGCTGAAACTTCAATACTTTGGCCACCTGATGCAAAGAGCTGACTCATTTGAAAAGACCCTGATGCTGGGAAAGATTGAAGGCAGGAAAAGAAGGGGACAACAGAGGATGAGATAGTTAGATGGCATCACCAACTCAATGGATATGAGTTTGAGTAAACTCTGGGAGTTGGTGATGGAAAGGGAGGCCTGGCATGCTGCAGTCCATGGGGTTGCAAAGAGTCGGACACGACTGAGCAACTGAACTGAACTTCTACCACTTAAGGAGTTAAATATTCTTTTTCTATTCTTTTTGTGGTGACAAATTTTGACATCCACACTTAACTAAGTCTAATGATAATCAAAATCTCTATCCTGCTCCTGAATGGTACCTGAGAATAATTCCCATAGCCCTGTTTCACAATCTTCCATAATTGTTATTTAGCATTTTAATTCTACTTTATTCTTTTTTAAATTTATTTTTTAATTGGAAGGTAATTGCTTTACAGTGTTGTGTTGGTTCTTGCTGTAAAACAATGTGAACCAGCCATAACTCTTTATATATATCTCCTCCCTTGTGAACCTTCCTCCCTTCTCCCTTCCACCCGTCTTGATCACCACAGAGTGTCTGGCTGGGCCACCTATATCATATAGCAGCTTTCCAGTAGTTACTGCCCGATAGCCCAGTTGGTAAAGAAATCCACCTGCAATGCAGGAGACCCTGGTTCGATTCCTGGGTCAGAATTTGGCAAATTAATTGGAAAAGATCTGCTGGAGAAGGGGTAGGCTACCCACTCCGGTATGCTTGGGCTTCTCTTGTGGTTCAGCTGGTAAAGAATTTGCCTGCAATGTGGGGGACCTGGGTTTGGTCCCTGGGTTGGGAAAACCCCCTGGAGAAGGGAAAGACCACCCACTTCGGTATTCTGGCCTGGAGAATTCCATGGACTGTATAGTCCATGGGGGTCTCAAAGAGTCGGACATGAGTGAGCAACTTTCACTTTCTTGCTAGCTATCTGTTTTACACATGGTAGTGTATATATGTCAGTGCTACTTTCTCAATTCATTCTACCATCTCCTGCTGCTGTGTCCACAAATCTGTTCTTTATGGGTGCATCTCCATTCTTTCCCTGCAAATATTTTCATCAGTACTATTTTTCTGGTTTCCATATAAGTGCGTCAATATATATTTGTTTTTCTCTTTCTGGCTTACTTCACTCTGAACAACAGGCTCTTCATTTGATCTTTTGACTACCTATAGTGGCTCATCTTCTTGTGTGATTAGCATTTTCCATTTTAAGCCTGTTTTGAGTGGGGATTCTTCCCTTGGGGAACCATAGGCACTATGGGAGTGGGAGCATTTTTACAGAATGACTTCAGGTTTCCTTCACAGGGGAGCTGGTGGTGGCAGTGGTGGTGGGGATTTGGCTTCTAACAACAGGTTGGCTTTGGGTCTCAGGAACACACAGGTAGTATGCATTTAGAACCCCGTCCCCTCGGTGCTGGGCTGTAGATTTTCAGCCTTCTCCTGGGTGACTCTTGGAGCTACAACTGCCCTCCTCAGATGGGAGGCTTTCCTGCTTGCTCCTTGGGAGAGTGCATGGTTATTACAATTAGTTTTACAGATGGGATGGTGTTTTGTGACCTTGGACTTTATTCTTTTAGCTCAGTTCCAGCTTCCCATTCAGTTGAGGCCTGTGGCTCAGACTGAATTTAAATCCCCAGCCATCCAGTCACTGGGATCTTTTTTTATTTGATCCCAATTTCCCATGGAGTCCCTTGGCTGCAATTCTCACTGACACATTAATTGCAAATTTCCTCTCTATGTCTGGCACCTGGGGGGTTTTACCTTACTGATTCCTAGGTAAATTATGGGTTCTTTATATAATTCTTTACATTGTTATATTTCATCCAGAAATCTTCTGTATTGAAAGTGGGGGTAGTGTGCCTTCCGTATTGGCCATAGGTCACCACATTGGCCAGACTTACTTATATTACTTATCTAATGAAGGAAAAAATACCCAGAGTTTGAAAATGTGTTTTAAAAATGTTTTGCTTTAAGTAACCTGTTTTTCTCCACACTTCTCAGTGCTGAATTTGAAGACCCACATAATTATGAGGCAACAATTTCCTATCTGAGACACTCCGGCAGCTCCATTAACCTGTGCACCGCAAAAAAAATTGTCGATTGTAAGTGTGCTAAGCCAATTAGTATTGTAACCCTGTACGGTATGAAAATATGTTCAAAATGGTATTTCCCCCAGCTAACTCGGAGTTTAAAAGTTAACAGCCATGCTGCTTTACTGTCATATTTCTCTTTTTTCCCCCTCTTCTAGCCCCTTAAATATATAAATAAACCCCGCTGTGCATCAGTGCTATCTCCCAGCTCCTGGTGCTGCCTTCTCATTACTTTCTGCTTTCCTTCACCAATCTGCTTAGACGCTTTGCCTTTTGTAGATACATGGGAGGGAAAATCAAATTATGGTGATTCACTTTTCTTCCTTCTCCTCCCATGGAAACTTCATCTCTCTTCTCTTGGTGTCTGTGTGGAAGTCCCCTGGTACCTCTGTGTGTGGAGAAGGTAGATAGCTGACTAGAGGAATGAGGTCCTTATGTTTAACCTGAATAGGAGCAGAGGATTCATTCAATGGATCTGACCACTGATTCAGAGCTGGGTCTTCCTGTCTCTGGTATTACTGACAAAGCTCAGACCTTTCTGTGAAAAAAGAGACTATCTCAGGCAAGATGGTGAAGAATCAGAACTCATAGCATTTCTTCAGGTTTCCGTGTCTTTGTTCTGCCTATATCAATAGAATCAACCAGTTCTCTACAATAGGCATAAATATTAGTGCTAGAATAAACACTAGTACTTACTGAGCTGTGCTGTGGGCCACAGTCCTGTTAAAGGTCCCCTTTGATATAGCCATTGTATTCACCCACTTTTATAGACAGAAAACTGAAAATTAGACTGAGTTGCATAAGGTCACACAAGTAATATGTGGAAGGGCTATACTGTGTAACGGCTCAGACTGCCTCTAAGATCCATGCTTTTCCCACAGTTTTATGCTGCTTCTCATTCAAGAGTGTTTGACTTCCCTGAAAGGAGAGTTAGAGATCTCCTGCTTCAATCTCTTTATTGTACAGACAAGAAGCCCAGGGCTCTGGGAGAGGAAGTGATTTGCCTGGGAACACGTGCTTAGGAAGTTCATGAGTAAGAGTTAGAACCCATTGAAATTTCCATTCTCCCCCCAGGAAATAAGGGGTCAAAGAACTACTAGAAAAACTTTCTCCTAGATTGGGTAAGCTCTCAATTCTCCAAACTGGCTTGTAAAATACTAACTTAAGAAGTGGAACTCCTGTCTACATCAACCCAGAAGGCAGTACTGCCTCGTAGTTGGGGTGCCTGGGCCCCTGCCTTAAAAGCAAGGCGTCTTAAACTCTAATGTTCACGTGAATTTTCTGGGCATCTTGTTGTAACATAGATTCTGGGTCAAATGCCCTGGGTTGGGCCAGAGAGTCTGCATTTCTAAAGGTGCCCCGATGCCACTGGTCCAGACTACACTTTGAATGGAAAGGTTCTGAGCCCCATTTGGACTGCATTCCAGCCTCATGTTTCCCTACAAAGCTAAGTGCTCACAGGGCCATGGGTATGCTCCCCTGCAGGTTCCCTCTGGACTTCATGAGACCCCCAGAATGTCCTCCCGCAGGTGGGTCTCTAAGATGCTGCTTGGGTCTCTTCCCTGGGTCCTTCCATCTCAGGACAGAAGAGGATGAGGGTGACATGGGCAAAGTCCTTCGTGTGTAGGGTGAAGCTGAGGTTTGGAAGGAAGGAAGCTGGACTGGAGGCTTGCATGTGTTCTCTCCAGGCCACAGATGTTCAAGGTTGGTCTGTTGGGGATATCATTTGGGGTACCCAATGAAGGAACCGCTAACCCAGGCCTCTCCTTAGTCTTTCACTAAGGAATCCTTTACATCCCTCAGTGCTGCTGAGGAGACAAGTGTTTATGACTGAAAAGAGAGAGGGCTCTGAAAATAAGCCACTGAAGCAATTGAGAGGTAACTGTGCAAAGGATGATAGGAAGCGGGGAGAGAGGGAGATGGGCATGGATGGTGAGGGCTTCCCCAGCCAGGATGGCTTCCTGTGGGGGATAGGCTAGAAGCCTGCCAGGAGGTTCTCTGAGGAAGCCAGAGAGCCTTAGGCTGGGATGGAAAGGATGCTGTTTTAGCCCACACTCCTTTCGCTGCTCCTCTCTAAGGAGGCAAGAGATAGTTACCCTATAGGCAAAAAAAGGGAAGAAAATAGGGTATTTTACCCTCACTTGTCCATGTTTATTTGACTTTTCCCCACATGTTTCATCCTCTTTACACTTACTGTTTGAAAGGTGTACAGATCTCAGTTTCTTCATCTACTAAATGGATATAATATCTTCTCTGTTTAACTGTTCTGTGTGCTTGAGAAGGTAATACATGTAAAGTCAAGAGACCTCTGCTCTGAGAGGATAGAGCACATATACTTTTCCCTAGTCCTCCTGCTAAGTACAACTAAAACCCCTGGATATTATATATTTAAAACAAACATATACATGTATATTTATATTGTATATTTTTATATACAAACATAAGAAAACTAGAACGCTGTGAAAAGGTGGAAGGGAGAAGGTAGACCAGCTAGGCATCTCTGGACCCAAGGAAGGATATGTGGTGAGTTCACTGGGTTTTCTTCTTGCTTCATATATCCCAGCCTTGGCGCTGAAGAAGCTGGCAACCCAGAAACACCCCTGTGCACCGACAAAGCAGCTCCAACAGAGACCTGCTCTTTCTAGCCACAGGACCAGTAAAAGGGAAGCCTAGAAAAACAGAAAGCCTCTAGACAACAACTACTTTATCCCAGCTAAATGTCACAGAAAATGATAAACTGGCCCTACCGCCACCAGCCAAGGCTGAGTGGGGAGCCTGGGCATCCACCCTCATCAGGCTGTGAAGATGCACCCCAACCCTTCTGCTGGTCAAGAAGGTTAAGTAGGGAGCTGGGACTTTCATCCCTGCCAGGGTAACAAACTCCACCTACAGTGAAGGTCAGTGAAGACCACATGTGGGCATGGACTCCAGCCCTCCACCCAGCAATAACAAGGTGTCCCTTCCCCTCCCTGTTGGGATAGGACCAGAGCAGACCTTGTGGAGAGTCAAGACTTTCACGCTCTCTCAGCAAGAAGGTGCCCTCTCCCTCTGGGATCAGTAGAGGCTATGTTGGGAGTGATAACAAGCACTCCCACCCCTCCCAGCCAGAGTGTTCCCAGCAGAAGCTTAGCAGGGAGCCAGAGCACCCACTCCTGCTCAGAAGTGATGAGGAGTCCCTCCCTTACTTGGGTATCAGCAAGACCAAGAAGTGGGACACCTACACTTCTACCCACCCCTGGCAAAAAAAAGGCAGCCCTCCCCACTCCTGCCACCATGCTAGCTAAAACAGAAGGTTTAAATAGTATCCACAGTCTCACAACATGATAGTCTAAAAGGTCAGGGTTCAATCGAAAATCACTCATCATGTCAACAGCCAGGAAAGTCTCAACTTAAACAAAGAGAGATGACTGACAGATGCCAACATTGGGGTGACGGAAGTGTTAGAATTGTCTGACAAAGGCTTTAAAGCAGCTATTATAAACATGCTTCAGTGAGAATTATAAATATGATTGAAACAGATTGAGAAAAAAAGTCTTATTCCAAAATAGGGGATGTCTCTGCCGAGAAATGGGAGATGTAAAGAAAACACAAATGGAAATTTTAGAACTAAAAAATACAGTAAAGAAAAAAAGCTCAATAGCAGAATGGAGGGAATAGAAGAATCAGTAAACTTGGGGGAAAAAAATTAGCTCAGAATGGATTTCTCCCTTCCTCTGCTCACCAAGGGTGAGAAATCTGTAAATACTGCCTTTCTAGGAAGAAGAGAGGAGAAGGAAAGAAAGGGAAGGAGGAGGAGGCTTTTGCCATCACCTTTGGGTGAGTCTGTCTCTTGAACAATGCCAAGAGAAACAGAAGATCACCCCTTCAGGGTGCACAACTCAGCACAGGTGACTTTCTGAAACTTCACCCTTTCATACTGACTGGGTGATGGGTAAACAGGATTTAGGCTGTTCTGGAATCTCTGTGGAATTGTCCTCAGAGCTCATCAGACCAGTGCCTTTCTGACTGTGCTTCCTAGGGCCGAGGGCTGTCCTAAGGGGTCCTGGAAACCCCTGGGAATAACTTCAACCAGAGAAGTTTCATTTATGCTCCTGTAATATTGTGTTTAAATGAATTAATGATTCCATGGCTAGGAGACAGGTTGAAAGCCATTTCCTAACTGAGAAACCCTGAGCAAGTTACTTCACTTTTCTGAGTGTCTGTTCCTCATCAGTAAATCATATATAGTAGTGATTATCGTGAAAACAACAGCAACAACTGTCAGCTATTTTTTTTATTATTGTTCTAATATTAGTAATAATTGTCTCACCTCCTGGTGTAAAACATGGGAAAGGGACTTTTCCAAAGTGACGCAGGGAGTTAGAAACTCACACAGGGAATTTCCCGGTTAGTTAGTCTGGATGAAGAGCTGAGGGTCTGGAAGACATGACCATGGTGTGGTACTAGTGTACCATATTGGAGTACAGTACAGGATGCTGAAGACTATCTTCTGACATTTGTCATTTTTCTCCCAGATGGGACAAAGCTATTCAGTGGAAAGAATTATATAACTCCCTGTGGAAACTGAGGGCTCTGATACTTTGGGTTATATCCTCCTATTATAATTCCTAGTCCTTTCCTGACCCCCTGAGGTATGATCGTCTGTACTTTATATTCCTACCTTGGGAGCAAGTTTTGATGGCAACACTTACTGTTGAGAGAACCTCCACTTTGTTTAAATAAAAAAAAACAGTATCAAGTTATCAATGCATTATTAATTGTGTGTGTATTATCTTTTTTTATTAGCCTTAGCAAGTAAGTTCTCTCTGGGCCTTGGCTCTCTCATTTCTAAGAATAATAAAATCTCCCTCCCCATCAGGTGATAGGTAGAAGCAAAGATATTGTGATTTATTAATTCTTTTAAAAACACAGAAGGGTGAATAAATTGAAGGAGGGAGAGAAAAGGAGATTATCATTTTTTAAAATTAGAAAATAAATCCATACTTGAAAAGGATGAGGCCAACTGCATCATAAGCAGATATTCTTAACTGTTTTTAAAGCAAGTAATAGAATAAAATGTGTTGATTCAAAAATTGGTGAAAATAAGTCTATAATTACCAAAGTTGAAGTACAGGTTATTAATCTGCCACACAGAATTTTAGGTCCTTGTGTCAATAATCACATGCAGATAGTCCCTAAAGAGAAACTGATTTCATTTAAATAATTTGTAAATGAATTGTATGTGTAGAGTAAAAGTGGCTTAGAAATGTGTGTTGTTGTTTGGTCAGTTCTACAAACTAAACCTTTAGGACTCCAGCAGCAAGAAAGAGAAAAGGAACAGGGTAAGTCTTATTTATTATGTACGGGTATTCACTATCGGTGAATGTAGGTGAAATGTTTATAGAAAACTTTTAAGCAAAGAAAAATTAAATTAGCAATTTTATTTAAAAAATATCATTTTCTATACAATGTCTGGTGCTCTGCTAGGTTTACATCATTTTACATCATCTGCTTTAATCTTCCCATGAACTCTGGAGGGCAGATACCAGTTGGCTCCATTTCACCAATTAAGCAATCTGAGGTTCAAAAAAAGGAAGAAAAAGAAGTAATTTGTCTGTAATGCCAAAGGTAGGAAGTGGCAGGACTGAGCTCTGAACCCCAATTCTTGCTACCACTTGTATTAATTAATGATTAAATTTGGCATCATGTCATTAAATAAACTCCACAAAACTTTTGGAAAAATTGAAAGGTATTTGAGCCTTAGCTGACAGCCGGCTGTACTATAGAAACAAAATGCTTATGGAGCCACTTTTAGGCATACTGTAGAGTTGGGTTTGATGAAGTGGGACCTGGGCTTTTGTGGCCTTATTTCCTTTCCCTTTCCTTTCAAGTCTGCCTTCTGATTGCTACCACTCAATTGCAGTACTTTCGCTTCATAATGAAGTATGAATCTGTTTAACAAAAGGGAAACTGACAATTGTTTCAAATGTTTTCATTGACTGTACTTTCCATCCTAGAAATCCCCAAAGGAAGGATACCATGATCAATGACCTGAGAATTTCCTAAACCTTGTGGACAAGTTTCCCATACATTGATTGTTCTGAGGGTTGAGAATATTGAACTCTGCCACCGTCTATAATTGCTTTAATCTGGGGTATTGTATAAGAAATGAATGCTATGAGAAATTGCCTTGAAATAATTGTCTTATGTTTATTTTAGCAACTTATGAAGTCAGAATTGGAGAACTCCAAAAGGTAGAGTTTCTTTTCTTCTTATCAGCTTCATAGCTAAAGCAAGTGTGCAGAGTTGATTCTGAAGTAGTTTCTTTCATGAGGGAGAAAAGCTCTTTGTTTTGTGTTTCCCTTCAATTTCAGAGGCATTTTTAGACTTTACCTGCTAAAATTCTGAAGTCTGAGCCCTGTATGATCAGTGACAGAAAACGTGTTAGGATGGAGAAGGTGGTAGTAACGCATTCCTGGCACCTGATGTAAGGTGGTCAGTACCAACTGGCCTTTAATAACTGTCCCTTCAGGAGAGCAGAGTTCCTCATCACATGCCAGATTTGTATATCATGTGCTTTCACGAGAATGACCAGACCCTTGAAGGCATATTTTTTGGACTTCTGGTGGGCATAGTGCTAGCAACTTGATTAGGGCCCAAGCAGAATCATGGGCTTTGATTCTGGCTTCTGGCTATGTGAACTGGAGCCTCCATTTCCTCATATGTGGTCATAGGAACACCCCCATCAGAAGTCACTGTGAGAATGAAAGGTAAATTCAGGTAAACAGTTTAATAGTAAATGCTGGAATCTATCCCAGGCACTTTACCTTTTTGAGCTTCAGCTGTGTCTTCTGTAAAATGGTGTGTTCTCTGGAATGGCAGGAAGCATAAGCCTTGTGCAATAGTAGATGCTCAATAAGTAATGAGACCAACAGTTTTACACTGAATTGCTGAGTGAACTAAGCTGGATGAAGCAGGTGAGCACCTAGTCCAGCACTCAGCACACAGTAGGTACTTACTTACTGTTTATCTGGGTCAGTTAAGGTACTACTCCTTCCTCACTGGGTGCCTTTACTCGAAGTCCTTCATCTTTCCACTTTGTTTTCCTTATGATTACTGAAAAGGATTGTTAATTTGTGATTCACTTTAGAGATAGAAAACTAGAAATGATTATTATTCCTATTAATGAAAGCAGAAAGATGCTTCACTTACCTGGCAGTATCAGCAAATGACACTCTTTTCTGCACAATGGAGCTTTCCAAATGACCACAATTTTATCCCATTCAAAATTTAAAAAACATGAAAGTATTTTTCTTTCAACCTTCAGACATATATTATGTTCATCTCATGTTTTCGAGCTTGGTGGCTGGAATCTGATTTCTCCATTTCTCGATGACTTGGAGTTCTCTGAAACATAAGGGCTGAATCGGCACTGTTCATGTTTTTCTTGAGATGCTCTTAGGCCCTGGTAGGGGTTCAGAATGAGTTGCCTTCACACCAAACTGCCATTGTCTATATGCTGTAGTTGTTTTATTTCTATCAACTTGTTATTTCCTTCTCCTGTAAACCTCTTTGTGTCCAGCAGTGAGTTTCCATGTGGTCCAGCACACACCAGGTCCCTGTCTGGGGGCAGGTACCTGTGTATCTGGTGGCCCAGATGCAAAGAATACACCTGCAGTGTGGGAGACCCATGTTTGATCCCTGGGTGGGGAAGATCTCCTGGAGAAGGGAATGGCTACCCACTCCAGTATTCTTTTTTGGAGAATCCCATGGACAGAGGGGCCTGGTGAGCTACAGTCCATGAGGTCACGAAGAGTCGGACACGACTGAGCGACTAACACTTTCACTTTTTCATTTTTTCACCTGTGTATACCTGGCATCATGTAATCCTCACAGTCACCCTGTGAGCTGGCATCATTGCTTTTTACAGATGATAACTCAAGGCTCAGAGAAGTTAAATAACTGTAAGTAATATAGCAGAAATATAAAGCAAGGTCCATCTAGCTTGTCTTTCTACAAGTGTTGCCGTCCAATCTGTTAGAATTGTATGGAAGATGAGAGCCAGTCGTCCCTGAATGCAAACTGTGAGGCTCTCCCCAAAGGAAGGGATGTGAACTCTTGGGCGTGGACTCTGTGGCAGCGTTTTGGATGCTTATTTTCTGTTTTCTTCGGGTTCTTGGCTAGATTCCAGATTGTGAATGATATGTGACAAATGACTAAATGAGGGGCTAGGTTGTGGTCACTGGGGCCTAAATTTAATGGTGCCAAGTCTAGATCACACACGAGCTGATTTTTGATTAGGTGGTATGTAATCAGGAAAGGAAGAATGCCCAGCATGGTTGCATACTTGCCTGTACCAATTTTGCTCACTGGAACATTGCTCAAATATCACAATTCCTATTTGCTCATGGGGTTTAAAAGTTCTTTATTCTACAGATGCATTCCTGGATGGGTGTGCAGAGGACAATTAAATTTTCTAAGTCAAATTATACATTACCTCTGGCATGTACCAGGACTTTAGAAATGCCTGTTTTTTTGTTTTGTTTTTTGATTGATCTTCAACTCCACTGGCAACAGTTCATGAAGCATTCTGTTTTCAGCATCTACTTTGCTCTGTACTGAGACCTCACTTGCCTCACCCTTTGGTCATATCTCTAATGATCTGTAACCAAACAACAGAGGCCTGGTTGGGGTTTGACTTGGGTAGATTTATGAAAATGACCATTTTTCTCTTTACTTTCAGGCTTGGAAGAGTTTTTGCCATCAAGAACTTAGGTGAGTTTTATCTTCAAAAGGAAAAGCATTAATTAGCCACTGCCCCTCTGATGACAGAACTGTTTTTCCTTAATGGGCCAGTTGTCTCTAGTGTCCGACCTGGTTCAGCACCCCTAGTACCCTGCAAGGTGTTTGGTACAGAGAAGGTGCTCAAGGGTCCTGCCTGGCCTGACCTTGTTCTAGCTCATTCTACATTCACTCAGCAAAGGCTTGCTGAGTCCCCAACATGCTGGCCATTTGCTAACCACAAGGGCTGGGGGTTCCCTGGTAACTCAGCTGGTAAAGAATCCGCCTGAATGCAGGAGATCCCAGTTCGATTCCTGGGTTGGGAAGATCCCCTGGAGAAGGGATAGGCTGCCCACTCCAGTATTCTTGGGCTTCCCTGGTGGCTCAGCTGGTAAAGAATCCACCTGCAATGTGGGAGACCTGGGTTCGATCCCTGGGTTGGGAAGATCCCCTGGAGAAGGGAACAGCTACCCACTCCAGTATTCTGGTCTGGAGAATTCCATGGACTGTATAGTCCATGGGGTCACAATGAGTTGGACACGACTGAGCAACTTTCACTTTCAAGGGCTTGGGGCAGTGACAGAGAGCTAGCCACTACCCTTGGGGGTTCCCCAGTGAGAGAAATACAGTCAAACAGGCATATGACAGTCACATGGGTCCCAAAGAATTGACAATTTCCAAAACACACTGTGCTGTTTCAGGTCTCTTTGCCTTTGCTCATTTACTTCATTCAGCCCAGCTTAATGATCTGTCAGACTTCTACTAACCATCAAATGACCCCTCCTATAAGAAGCCTTCCTCATTCTCCTCTAGTCCCTTCCCTGTGGTGCCGCTGTAGGACATGCACACATTTGCATTAACATCATGTCCATCCTTTGTCTGCTAAGATGCCAGTTCCTCCTCACTCTCCCCTTCTCTGAGCTCCTTGTGGGCAGGGCCCATTTTTCTCGTCTTGATCCAGACATGGGCTTGGCATGTAACAGTGTTTTTGCCTGATCCTTCGGAGTCTGCCTGTCTTTCTCACCACCTGCCCGTGGAAGTTATTTATAATGCATTAAAATAAACATGGCCTGTGAGCTCTGGAGGAACATGTATCACCATTTCCTGGCTGAGGCTAAAAACACACAAGCTGGATCATGGAGGAAAACCCTGCTTCATCTCTGTCCTTGAGTTCCTGCCTGACCTTAAATTCATGAGTCCTGTGATTACCCTTTGGCACCTAACACAGTACTGGGCAGAGTAAGCACATGTCAGATGATTAGCGACTTAGTTCAACATTTACTGAGCTTTTTCTCTGTTCAGACACTTTTAGATTCTCAGGTACAGAAATGAATAGAATGTATTCCCTATACTTAGTTCAGCTTAAGAGTGAAGACCAGAGTGGTAGGGGTGAGGGGGTCACTTGGAGGGGAAAATGACCATGGAAGTAGGACTTTACAATTATCAGATGATCACTGTTAAAAGTTATGAAAACACAGAGGTGATGTAGTAGCCATGCTTTCTCCAAGAGTGACAGCTGAGCTGAATCATGAAAACATGTAGGAACTGGCCGGGTGAAAATGGCAGGATGCATGTTCTAGGCAGAGGACAAGGTGAGGGGCAAAGACATAGTGTTGCACAGTGAGGCCAGTACAGGTGTCCACGAAGAGCTGGGTGATGCCTGGGCATAAAGTGCGGTGTGGAAGAGCAGGAATGAGGCTGGGGGTCATATGCAGAGCAAGATCCAGGAGGACCTGCATTCCCCAATTAATCATTCAGAGCAATCTTGTCCAGTGGAAATACAATGCAAACCACATATGTCACTTAAAATGTCTCTAGTAGCTATCTTCTAAAAAGCAAAAAAAAAAAAAAAATCCGAATATATCCCAAACATCATCATTTTGCCATGTAATCAGTATTAAAGTTTCCACTGAAATATTTTAGATCTTTTTATTCACACCAAGTATTAAAGATCCAGATGTGTTTTACATGAACAGCTTCAGTTTGGACCATACACATTTCAGATGTTCAAAAGTCACATGTGAATAGTGACCTCTTGGATGAAACATTTTTAAACCTTATTCTATAAGTCAGTGGAAGCCACAATAGAGTTTTAAAGCAGAAATAATATACCCCTAGCATTCCTAGGAGTCACAACATTCAGTGTAATTTGACAGTTGTTTATGGAGTTCCAGCCATGTAGAAACTACCGGACAAAACCTGGGGGATAGAAAGATGGATTACAAAGGACATGTCCATCAGCAAGGCAGGTAAATGCCTTAGGAAAACTGTCAGCAATGGGAAGAGAAGCCTTGGGTAATTCTAACTCAGCAGATGCTGTGATGAAGAAAAGGACACTGACAGTTATGGAGCCAATTACATGCTGTAAGCAATGTTAGGCTTTCAACGTTTTTATCACATTTCACTTTCATGGAAACTGTGGAGACCCTCATTGTGACTTTTCAGTTACAGATGGAAACATTTGACTTTTAGAAAGGTTCATCTTAGGTTCTTGGAGGCAGAATAGGGCCTGGATCCCAGCCCTCCCTACACAGCTCCTGTTCTAGAACTGGTGGCCTTAATGGTGGTTAAGAGTCACCAGTCACTGGATGAATGAAACTCTTTAAAATTCTTCCCATTGTCACAGAATATTTCTCTCTCCTGGTGTTTCTCCTTCCTGTATGACCACCTCTTCTGCTTTCCTTTGAGGGCTCTCTGTCTCTGCCTTCCATGTAAAAGTGGTTGTAGAACTATCTGCTTCACTGTGTTGCCAGAAACAGATGTTCACATCTGGATGCTGGTGCTCCTCAGTGTTCTGTTCCCAGTCCTCAGCTTGTTGACTATACTCTTCACTTTGACTCCCTTCTCTACTCCTCCACTGCAGCTATTGTCAACATACAGGTGTGTGGTAGTCATGCCTTTCATGAGGGAATGCTAGCTGGAAGACTTTGCCACTGTGGGTTACAAAGCATTAGTGCTGGGGGTACACACATGAATTAACAGAGCTCTGATTTTTAGGTAGTGTCAAGGAAAAATGGAAGAGCCAGAAGCAGATCTGTAGACTGTACATTTTAATATAAAATAGAGGGGTAAAAGAGAGTCAGGCAACACTTCTCGGAGAGGAGCTGATTTAGAGAGACTGGAAAAGGTGCTCTGTTTCTCTGCAGTGTAAGATGTGGAAGGCATGACTGAAAAAAGAACTAGCAAATATGAAGGAAGAGTGGCTCAAAATAAGATGGAACGTTTGGGGAATTAGAGTGTAGATTAGCATAAACATGGAGAGAAGAGGCAGAGAGGACGGAGTCGGAAAGAAAGGTGGGGCCAAATCACAGTGGGGCTATTTTATCCATCAGCCAATGGGAAGTTAGATTTTAAGCAGGAATTCACTCTGGCATTGGTTGGAACTGCCAGAAACTCGGGGAAATTTTCAATGGTTGACTTGATCTTGGTCCTCTCATCTTTAAAGAAGAAGAAAAGCAGGAGAAAGGGAGGGAGAAGGGAGGGAGAAAGGGAGGGAAAAGGAAAAGGAGGGTTCAGCCCTGTTTAAATTCATTTCCCTCACTCATTTAATTTAGGATTGAGGGGTACACTATCATCAAAACTCTCTCGTCTTCACTTTTTCCCTGGTATTGCTTCACATTTCAGACCCGAAGATGAAGACAAACAAATGAAGGAAAAACAACCATACCAATTGAAACTTCAAAACACAGAAGATCTACACTTAGACCATCTTTTCAAGGTATCTGTATTCCAGGGTTCCAGATCAAACAGTCCAGGTCATCCATATAATAGGTTCAGTTCATGGAGTGACTTTTTTAGAGGCTGAGCCATGCAACTCTCCAGAAAGACAGAAGATGAAGTGGGTGGTGGGTGTCTTACAAAAGAAATTGATGGGACAAGAACACTGAACTCTAGCCTCCGATTTCTCACTTATTAGCTGTGAAGCAGGTCTCATAAACCGGGCTGAGATTAGTATGAGTTCAGCGAGACACCCGGAGGGTCAAAGAGACAACTCAGGTGCCCACCCTGCTCTTGTAGAACCTGATGGGAGGGCCTCCTGAAGTTCTGTGCTCTGAGACTCTGCTTAAGAGGGACTTAATCTCTGAGCTTAGGCATCTCATGTGTAAAATGAGAATAAATAACCTCTATCTGATTACCATCCCCACTCCTATCCTAATTGTCTTATTTTTGTTAATGAAATAATGTAGACGAAGCTGCTTTGTAAGCTGTAAGCTACCATGAAAATGAAGTATATTGTTGTTAATTAACTGATCAGTTAACACTGTTTGTTGATATGAAACACTGTATATGTGTATATCCACATCCAGTGGATGCTATCTCCTTCAAAACGGTCAGTGGCTTAAACAGTAGATACCACCGGGGCTATTACCAGGGTTCCAAACACCTGGGATGCCTGTTTGAGATGTGCCTATCACATAAACATCAAATTGTTCCAGTCCCACTTGCAGGGCTTGGGTAAATCAGACATCTTGGTGGTGGTACGGGCCTGATCTGAGGTGTAGGCCCAGGGCCCCGCTGGAATAGGTTGAGTGTTTACAGAATATAAAAAAGCAGCATAATTCAGAGAAGTCATTAATAATGAAAGGTAGGGACCAGAGACGGGAGTGGCATGACGTGTTAAGATGGGTGGTGAGACCAGAGATCAGGAAGGGGTTTATCGGGAACGTTTCATGATGAGAAGGGCAGCAGCGGAGCATGATTAAGGATGTGTGCATGCTCAGTCGGTCAGTTGTATCTGACTCTGTGCAACCCTATGGACTGTAGCCCGTCAGGCTCTTCTGTCCGTGGGATCCTCCAGGCAAGAACACTATAGTGGGTTGCCATGTCCTCCTCTAGGGAATCTTTCTGACTCAGGAATTGAACCCACATCTCCTGCAGCTTCTGCACTGCAGGTATATTCTTGACCATTGAGCCACCAGAGAAATCTGATATGACTGAGGATACTGACCATGAAAGAGCAAAACATGGATGCACCCTTTTTCAGTAAATCCCTGGTAGCCAAGAGCACAGGGCTCTGGGATCCAGTCCTGCCTGGGCAGATGACTAGCTGTGAGACCAGAGGCCAGTTATTTAACCTTTCTAAATTCTTTATCAAGAGAAATCATGGTATTTTTTGAATAAGATGTCATGAAGATCAAGTAAGATAAGATATATTAAGAGCCTATTCCATGGTCAGTCTGTCATTATAGCCTGATTGCATCCTGTGGGCCTGCCTCCGAGCCAGACATCTATGGCTATTCAGAGGGGAACAAAAGACATTGTATGTGCCCTTGTGAAACTTAGAGAAATGAGATTGTGTTAAATAAAACAATAAACAATGGCTAGCTGGGAGGAATGAATGAATACAGAACAGCATTAGTAAGCAAAAAGCCAATAGCTAAGTCAAAACAGTGCCGGACTGTCCTTGTTGCTTGTGTTTAGGTGGATATCTATGAAGAGATACCTGGGAAAACCCAGATGGCAGAAGACCACAGAGGTGGGAGAACCATGCCGGCCAGAAAGCAGGATGCTGCGATGGACATCATCCGGGTGGAGGCTTGCCCTGAGGACTTCCAGCTGGCCGGGCATTCCATAGACTACTGTGAGTTTCATTTTTTCCTGGTTCTTTTTACCCTTACTGAATTATTTTAAAGCTGTGCGTGACCAAGATTTTAATTGATTTTATAAATATTCACCTAGCATCTATTATACATCAAGTCACTTGCCTGAGTGAGGCAGCTGTACTAGATTTAGAGGTAGAAGGCCTGAGTTCAAATAAAGGCTCTTATACTTATTAGCTGTGTAACATAATCCTTCATATTCCTCAATTTCTTCATTTATAAAAAGGGATTATAATATAGATCTCACTGGGGTTTGGCACGGACCAAATCTGACAGTATTTTGCGTAATAGGTACACAGTTGAATGTTTACTCATTTCTTCTTAATCTCCCAGAACCTGTTCTTTTTTGTAGACACAAGACATTGACACATTGATGACATAGTATGATACTATTATTTGACTTTATTCAGGTTGAATTTTATCTTCATGTGAGTCAAAACTCATGATTGCAAGTAACTGTAGTGAAATCATACTGTGTTAAGCAGAAGAGGAGAAGGAGGCTCACCTAGCAGATGGTCTGGACAAGGCTGGACTCAGGGACACAGACAGCATCAGTGTTCCTTTTTTTGCTCCTGGCTTTGTCCCCCTCCCTCTTGGCTTCATCTTCAAGCAACTCTACCCTTGTAGAGACAAGTTGGCACCTGGAAGTGACAGATTTACATGCTATCTATCCTCTTAGGAACCCCAACAGAAATCTGGAAGTGGTTATCCTCTCAACTGTTTCAAGAAAAGGCCCAGATTTGAGTCTTACTGGCTTGATTGTGTCACCAGCCAATCTCGATCCAATCATCATGAATGTGGGATAGGATGCTCTGACTGACCCAGGCCTATGTCATAAATTCACATCCGGAGCTGGAGGCAGAATTAGTTCTATCAAAACAGTATCATTTCAGATTGAAGGATTTCACAAGTTAAGAGCGGTTATCACAGGGAAAAAAGTAGACACTGGATAGACAAAACAGATGTCTACTCCAGTCTATTAAGCCACGGCAAACCACTGACATGTCATAACGTGTTACAATCAAAGTTATGAGAATATATTACAATCATAAGATTGACTCACTATATCCCTGCCATGCGCCTCCTTCCCTGCACACTGTTTGTTCTAAGTTAACTGACTGTGTCATGTGCTTAAGTGCCCCATCACTTTGCTGAACTCTTTCCTGTGTCTGAAATGCCTTTCTGCCCACCCTCTACCTGCTGATGTCTTAGCCATCTTTCAGGATCTATCTCCAAAATCAGTTCTTGTGAGGACCTCCTTACCTTCCTTACATCTATACTCCACTTTCCCACTCTCCAGGGACCATAATTGCTCACTCCTCTCTGTTTCCAGGACACCAAAACAGCAATGGAATGACCAGTTTTCCATATTAGGTTTTCATTCTTCAGTCACTAAGTCGTGTCCAACTCTTTGCGACCTCATGGACTGCAGCATGCGATCCTTCCCTGTCCTTCACTATCTCCCAGAGTTTGCTCAAACTCACATCCATTGAGTCAGTGATGTCATGCAACTATCTCATCCTCTGTCATCCCCTTCTCCTCCTGCCCTCAATCTTTCCCAGCATTAGGGTCTTTTCCAGTAAATCGTCTCTTTGCAAGGTGGCCAAAGTATTGGGGCTTCAGCATCAGTCCTTCCAATGAATATTTAATATTGATTTCCTTTAGGATTGACTGGTTTGATCTACAAGAGTCTTCTCCAGCATCATTCAAAAGCTTAAATTCTTCTGTATTCAGCCTTCTTTATGAGATCCAACTCTTACATCTGTACATGACTACTGGAAAAACTATAGCTTTGTCCATACCGACCTTTGTCAGAAAAGTGATTGTATTTGCTTTTTTTAGATTCAAGCATTTCTGGGACCCAAAACCACTATGTATTAATCCTACAACCCTGGGAAGTTCACTTACTTTTATGTACACGTGGGGACAGTACTATTTATTTCCCAGGGCTCTTTGTCAGTGCATATAAAGTGTCTGGTTCATTGCTAAATAACTGTCAGTTCTCTTTGCTCATTCGCTTTTCTAAAACAATTACATCATGCTTTACTTTATAACTCATGGTGTACATGCTTGTTTTCCATGGTTCACTGTGAACACCTTGGGGTCAGAGACCATTTGACATTTTTCTCTGTATCTCTGCAACTGCAACCAACAAAACTTTGTTAAAGGAAAGAATGAAAATAAATCAGACTTCAGTGAGGGAGTATGGTAGATCTGACAGTCTTAATGATTCTTCTGACTAAAACAAAGTGAAGAAGAAAATTGGGGGGGGTGGACAATTCATTAAAGCATCACAGAATTGACTTAAAAAGAAGTATCCATATGCCTGCAGGAACCAGGAACCCTGAGAAATGAGTGAGCACCAAAGCTGCTCTTGCCCTGAGGCCTTTCACTGAATCTTTTGTTCTCCTGTTTTGACTGCATGGTGTGCAGAGGACAGGAGCTATATCCCAGGGCCTGCCTAAAGTGAGTGTATAGTAGGAGCGTGCATGTGTGCATACCCAGTCATATCTGACTCTTTTGTGACCCCATGGACTGCACCTCACGAGGCTCCTCTGTCCATGGGATTCTCCAGGCAAGAATACTGGAGTGGGTTGCCTTTTCCTCCTTCAGGGAATCTTCCTGACCCAAGGATCAAACCTGTGTCTCCTGCATTGGCAGGTGGATTCTTTAACACTGAGCCACCAGGGAAGCCCATACAGTAGGGGACTCCTGTATAAAGTTGGGACCTCAAAGAATTATGTCCACACAGAACGGATAGCACTATGCCTATTGTTAACAATACTATATTCAGTACTTATAAATTTACAAGAATAGACCTCAAATTCTCTTAAACCATAAAAAAATTTTTAAAAATTAAGAAATAGGGCAAATAAAGACATTTCTGATGAGATAAATGACACATGAGAAAGCACAGAGGCAGTACTGAATCAAAAATCACATCTTTAGATGAAAAATGGGTAGACTAATTTGGACTACAGAAAAAAAATGGAAGGGCAGAAAGGGAGGAAAACAAGCTGAAGTAAATAAGAGTTAAAGGAGAGGCCTAAACGTGGGGCTGAAAGCCATTTTCAAGCAATTATGTATTGTCCTTGAAGAGTCACTACAGATTTCGGGATTACACTATGTTGAAAACAGTCTGAAGAAAATTCTTCTGAGTAATCTGTGAAGTGAAGTGAAGTGAAGTGAAGTGAAGGTCGCTCAGTTGTGTCCGACTCTTTGTGACCCCATGGACCATACAGTTCATGGAATTGCCCAGGCCAGAATACTGGAGTGGGTTGCCATTCCCTTCTCCAGGGGATCTTCCCCACCCAGGGATCGAACCCAGGTCTCCCACATTGCAGGCGAATTCTTTACCAGCTAAAGCACAAAGGGAGTCAGTAATAAACTTGTGCTAACCACCCTGAATAGTTCTCTGCAATACTTGTGATGAGGAGCACAAAATGCTTAGTCAAGGAGAGTGGGCATGAAAACAGGAAAGTTTTGAGGGAAAAAAAAAATACAGTTGTTTTTCTAATTCCTTCTATACAGATAGGTCTCTTTCGAAAAAAATGAACAAAATAAAAAAAACTGCTTCCTTCCATTAAAAAAAAAAAAAAACATTAAAGACAAACCCCAGGGAGCAGAAGGAAATTTGCTCATTTGCTCCTGGTGCTGGGGAAAGGGAAAAATCTGTTAGCAGAGCTGACTCTCATACTCACTGTGGGAAATTTACTGAGCTCTGCTCATGATTTGTGTCCTTTCCTCTCTGTCATGCTGTAATTTTACTAAAGTAAAAGACAGACACAGAATGTGTACTTTCCAAACAAACAAGAAAAACAGGATGAAGAAAAAGAGAAGAAATCTTAGTCAGTCAAACACAAGGAAAATGAGGGAAAACCAGAACAAATAAAATGTATGTAATAAAACACTAAATATATATTTCAAAATATCAGTAAACACTATAAGCATCAAACTCTCTCATTACAGGACATATGCATTCAATTCAGTTCAGTCGCTCAGTCATGTCTGACTCTTTGCAACCCCATGAACCGCAACATGCCAGGCCTCCCTGTCCATCACCAACTCCCAGAGTCCACCCAAACCCATGTCCATTGAGACAGTGACGCCATCCAACCATCTCATCCTCTGTTGTCCCCTTCTCCTCCTGCCCTCAATCTTTCCCAGCATCAGGGTCTTATCCAATGAGTCAACTCTTTGCATCAGGTGGCCAAAGTATTGGAGTTTCAGCTTCAATATCAGTCCTTCCAATGAACACTCAGGACTGATCTCCCTTAGGATGGACTGGTTGGATCTCCTTGCAGTCTGAGGGACTCTCAAGAGTCTTCTCCAACACCATAGTTCAAAAGCATCAATTCTTTGCATTCAAATCATTCAATATTAAAAATATTTAAGGGCCTTTTATGTCCCCAGAATTGTTCTAGGTGTTGGGGGTATACCAGTAAACAAACCAGACAAAAATTATGGAGGTTGCGTTCTGATCAGAGGAGACAGATGATAAATTTATAAATAATAAAATATTCACTATGTGGAATTTTAATAAATATAGAAAAAATAATAAAGCAAAAAAGAATTGGGGAAGTAGGTAGAGGAAGTGGATGTTGTAGTTTTAAAGGGCTGACAGATGACCTCAAAGACACAAAGTAGATGAAGAACAGAGCCATATCTATCCAGTAAGCTCTAGGGAGAGGGGGGAAGGAACGCAGCTATCCTGGGCAAGAGCCTATTTGATGTGCTGGTAGAATAGCAAGGAGGCTGGTGTGGCTGGAGCAGTGATGAAGGAGACTGTGGTAGGAGATGAGGTCAGAGATATATAATAAAGGACAAGGGGCATTTGTAGACCATTGGAAGAACATTGGCATTTATTCTAAGTAATATTAAAAAAACAACAACAGTGAAAGGTTTTGAGCACAAGAACAGAAATGATCTGACTTGTATTTTAAAGAATCATCTTGGCTGCAGTCTTGAAAGAAGAATGTAGAGGAAGAACCTGGGACCTGTTATGAGTTTGTTGCAATAATTTAAGTGAAAGACAATGGTAGCTTGGAGGAGGGTACCATGGTTGAGTTGAGATGTGTATTTTTGGATTCAGGATATAAATGTGAAAGTCAAGCTGATGGATAGCTGTGATTGGAGGTGGGATATAAGACAGGAGTCAAGGATGTCTTCAAGGTTTTGGACCTGAGCAGCTAGAAAAGGTGGGTTGCCACTCATCATTGAGATGAGGCCGACTTCAGGATGAGCACATTTTCAGAAAGTAAAGAGTTTGGTTTGGAACGTAATATGTTGAGACAACTAAATGGAAGCAGTGTGAAGGGTGATGAGGTATCTAGAAATCATGAGAGAGATGTCTAGGTTAGAGATGTAAATTTGGGAGTTGTCTATGTTTTTTTAAGGCTTCCCTCGTGGCTCAGACAGTAAAGCATCAGCCTGCGATGCGGGAGACCCAGGTTCGATCCCTGGGTTGGGAAGATCCCCTGGAGGAGGAATGGCAACCCACTCCAGTACTCTTGCCTGGAAAATGCCGTGGATAGAGGAGTCTGGTAGGCTACAGTCCATGGGGTTGCAAAGAGTTGGACACGACTGAGCGACTTCACTTTCTTCTGTCTTTATGTTTTTAAAATGAAGCCATAAAATTTTGCTTCAGCCAAAAGGAAAGATTAAGAAAGAAAAAAAATCCTGAAAAGGAGCATCTTTGTTTATAAAATTAAAAGTTAAAAAAAAAAGTGGATTCTTCATTTTTAAAAAATATTTGTGCTAGAGAAACTTACTGATAACTCTGTAAGGAAAAGCAGGGTCTTTATGCCTCTGGGAGCTGACATTCATTGAGATGGTTTGGGGCTGATGTTGTAATTGACTTCTTATCAGAAGGTAAAATCTTGTTGTCTGGTGCTTTTAATTAACAGACAAAATTCAATGTGCCTGTTGCTGTTTATCAGATATATTACTACTTATTTCTGATTAATAGTTCATATCTGAAAATGGTTCTGAATCACCAATGCTCTAAATATTAACCTATGCCAACTGATAAAAAGGTGGCAGTTTTATGGCTATGACAAGTTTACAGCCCTGTGAAATAAACCAACTTCTGCAGTTAACAGGCTAGCTACTTGTGCAAACAATCCCTAGACATTTTTCAACCTGGCATACTATCTCGCTGATGCTATCATTAATGAATAATAAATGTTGGCATGTACTCAATCAACCTAAGAAATTTTACTTTAAGGAAAAAAAAAAATGCTCCAAAACTGGATACAGGCATCTAAATGTAGGAAGAGAAACCCCAGGGGCTGTACCTTGGCAGACATCAGCATTCGAGGTTGGGGATTAGAGGAAGAACCCTCCAGGAAGGAGGAGGGGTCATTGGCTTCCTGGGCAATTAGCACCGTTCATGAAAATGTATTAATCCTTGTCACAGTCATCTAAGAGTAGGGGTTACCATCATTATCCCAGCTTGAGAGAACCACAGCTGAGGCTCAGTAAGGTGAAGTGGTTTGCCACAGGATCATCCAAACCAAAGTTATAATCCAGTGTTAGCATATTTAATGTGACTTTTTCTATTCTTGATGTATGTGAATGCATTTAGGAGAGTGGTTGATAAAATATTCTCAGGGGGTCCTCTGTTTTCCTTGCAGGTGGTTATGTGAAGGCCTTGGAGATGAATAAAGAAACCCAAGGCCAAGGAACCATTAAGCCAAATTCCACTTCAGAGAACTATGATGATGTTGAGTGCTCTGGGAGTAGGAGGTAAGCATTTCAGCCCTGCAGCGAAATGAATGTGCTGAGACTTTAAAATACATGGACTTCTCCGGTGGCCAAGTGGATAAGACTCCATGCTTCCAATGCAAGGGGCATGGGTTTGATTCCTGGTCAGGGAACTAAGATCACAAATGCTGGCACGGCCAAAAAAAAAAATTACAACACAATAGGTCAGTGGTCTTTGTATTTTTTCTTACCATAGAGCAAAGACGGATTTCTCTTAACTCATTTATCTCACATAATGGTAAGTATAAGAAGATATTTGAAACTGTCAGTAGGAATTGCTGAGTTTCTGTGGCACATTAGTAATAAGGTATCTAATATTTATATACTTGTATTAATGCCATTTGGGCGAAGTGATGATAAACTAATAGAAGTGGTTCAAGGTATGTGTGAATAGGTGCATTTAGAATCAGGAAGATTCTGGTAATGGGTGTTCTGTGACAAGGAAGCAACTTTGGTATGAAATTTTCTGATCTCCTCACAATCCAAGACTGATGAGAGAATATGTTTTATTTAAAACACTTCTATGGATTCTCAATGTTTTTAATTGAAGTATAGTTGATTCACAATGTTAGTTTCAAGTGTACAACACAGTATGTTCAATATTTTTATAGATTACACTCCACTTAAAGTTATTATAAAATATTGGTCATAGTCCCTGTGCTATATATTATATCCTTTATCTTATATCTTGTTTATTTTGTAGCTAGCAGTTTGTATACCTTAATGCTCTTCCAATCCTCCCCAGTTTGCCCCTTCCTCCCCTCTTCTTCCCTCTGGTAACCACTGTTATAGCTCTTCATTCACTATGTTGTGTCCAACTCTTTGCAACACTGTGGACTGCAGCACATCAGGCTTCCCTGTCCTTCACTATATCCCAGAGTTTGCCCCAACTCATGTCCATTGAGTCAGTGATGCCATCCAACCATCTCATCCTCTGTCACTCCCTTCTCCTCCTGCCCTCAATCTTTCCCAGCATCAGGGTCTTTCCCAATGAGTCAACTCTCTGCATCAGGTGGCCAAAGTATTGGAGCTTCAGCATCAGTCCTTCCAATGAATATTCAGGGTTGATTTCCTTTAGCATTGACTGGTTTGATCTCCTTGCTGTCCAAGGGACTCTTAAGAGTCTTCTCCAGCACCACAGTTTGAAACCATCAATCCCTCGGCATTCAGCCTTCTTTATGGTCCAACTCTTACATCCCTGGTAGCTCAGATGGTAAAGTGTCTGTCTACAATGCGGGAGACCTGGGTTTGATCCCTGGGTTGGGAAGATTCCCTGGAGAAGGGAATGGCAACCCACTCCAGTACTCTTGCCTAGAAGATCCCATGGACGGAGGAGCCTGGTGTCCATGGAGTCGCAAAGAGTCGGACATGACTGAGCGACTTCACTTTTCTCATATCCATACATAACTACTGGAAAATCATAGCTTTGACAGTACTGACCTTTGTCAGCAAAGTGATGTCTCTGCTTTTTAATATGATGTCTAGGTTAGTCACAGCTTTTCTTCCAAGGAGCAAGTGTCTTTTTATAATTTCATGGCTGCAATCACCATCCTCAGTGATTTTGCAGCCCAAGAAAAGAAAATCTGCCACTGTTTCCACTTTTCCCCATCTGTTTGCCATGAAATGATGGCACTGGAGTCCATAATTATAGTTTTTTGAGTGCTGAGTTTGTCACCTTTTTCATTCTCCTCTTTCAACCTTCACCAAGAGGCTCTTTAGTTTCTCTTCACTTTTCTGCCTTTAGGGTAGTATCTACATACCTGAGGTTGTTGATATTTCTCCAAGCAATCTTGATTCCAGCTTGTGGTTCATCCAGCCCAGCATTTCACATGATGTACTCAGCACAGAATTTAAATAAGCTGGGTGACAATATACAGCCTTGATGTACTCCTGTCCCATTTTTGAACCAGTCAATTGTTCCATGTCCAGTTCTAACTGTTGCTTCTTGACCTGCATGCAAGTTTCTCAGGAAGCATGTAAGGTGGTCTGGTATTTCCATCTCTTTAAGATTTTCCCACAGTTTGTTGTGATCCACACAATCAAAGGCTTTAACATAGTTAACGAAGCAAAAGTAGATATTTTTCTGAAGTTCTCTTGCTTTTTCTATAATCCAACAATGTTGGCAGTTTGAACTCTGTTTCCCCTGCCTTTTCTAAATCCAGTTTGAACATCTGGAAATTCTCAGTTCACGTACTGTTTAAACCTAGCTAGAAAGACATTGAGCATGACCTTGCTAGCATGTGAAATAAGCACAATTGTGTGGTAGTTTGAACATTCTTTGGCATTGCCCTTCTTTGGGATTGGAATGAAAACTGACCTTTTCCAATCTTGTAGCCACTTCTGAGTTCCAAATTTGCTGGCATATTGAGTGCACTTTCACAACTCATCTTTTAGGATTTGAAATAACTCAACTGGAATTCTATCATGTCTAGCTTTGTTCGTAGTAATGCTTCCTAAGGTCCACTTGACTTCACACTCCTGGATGTTTGGCTCTAGGTGAGTGACCACACCATCATGGTTATCTAGGTCATTAAGAACTTTTTTGTACAGTTCTTCTGTGTATTCTTGCACTTCTTAATCTCTTCTGCTTCTATTAGGTCCTTGATATTTCTGTCCTTTATTGTGCCCCATCTTTGCATGAAATGTTCCCTTGGTATATAATTTTCCTGAAGAGATTTCTAGTCTTTCCCATTCTATTGTTTTCCTCTATATCTTTGCATTATTCACTTAAGAAGGCTTTCTTAGCTCTTCCTGCTGTTCTCTGGAACTCTGAGTTCAGTTGGGTGTATCCTTCCCTTTCTTCTTTGCCTTCCACTTCTCTTCTCTTCTCAGCTATTTGTAAGGCCTCCTTAGGAAACCATTTTGCCTTGTTTCAGTTCTTTTTCCTTGGGGTGGTTTTGGTCACCACTTCCTGTACAAAATTATGAACCTCCGTCCATATTTCTTCAGGTACTCTATCAAATCTAATCCCTTGAATCTATTTATCACTTTCACTGTATAATCATAAGGGATTTGATTTAGATCATACCTGAATGGTCGAGTGGTTTTCCCTACTTTCTTCAATTTAAGCCTGAATTTTGCAATAAGGAGTTCATGGTCTGAGTCACAATCAGCACTAGGTCTTGTTTTTGCTGACTATATAGAACGTCTCCATCTTTGGCTGCAAAGAATATAATCAATATGATTTCGGTATTCACCATCCGGTGATATCCATGTGCAGAGCCATCACTTGTGTTGTTGGAAGAGGGTGTTTGCTATGACCAGTGCATTCTCTTGGCAAAACTCCTTTAGTCTTTTCCCTGCTTCAGTTTGTACTCCAAGATCAAAGTTGAATGTTACTCCAGGTATCTCTTGACTTTCTACTTTTGCATTCCAATCCTCTATGATGAAAAGAACATCTTTTTGGGGTATTAATTCCAGAAGTCTTGTAGGTCTTCATAGAACCATGCAACTTCAGCTTTTCAGCATCAGTGGTTGGGGCATAGACTTGGATTACTGTGATGTTGAATGGCTTGCCTTGGAAATGAACCAAGATCATTCTGTCATTTTTGAGATTGCATGCAAGTAATGCATTTTGGACTATTTCTCTTGACTATGAGGGGTACTTCATTTCTTCTCAAGAATTCTTGCCCGCAGTAGTAGATATAATGGTCATCTGAATTAAATTCACCCATTCCCATCCATTTTAGTTCACTGATTCCTAAAACATCAATGTTCACTCTTGCCATATCCTATTTGACCACATCCAATTTACCTTGATTCATGGACCTAACATTCCAGGTTCCTATGCAAATTGTTTTTCACAGCATTTGACTTTACTTTCACCACCAGACACATCCACAACTGGGGATCATTTCCACTTTGGCTCAGCTTCTTCATTCTTTCTGGAGCTATTTCTCCACTATTCCCCAGTAGCATATTGGACACCTACTGACCTGGGGGACTCATCTTCTGCTGTCATATCTTTTTGCCTTTTCATACTGTTCATGAGGGTTCTCAAGGCAAGAATACTGGTTTGCCATTCCCTTCTCCAGTTGACCACATTTTGTCAGAACTCTCCACCATGACCTGTCTTGGGTGGCCCTGAATGGCATGTCTCATAGTTTCACTGAGTTACACAAGTCTGTGATCCATGTGATTGTTTTGGTTAGTTTTCTGTGATTGTGGTTTTTGTTCTGGAGGCCACGGGATTATAGTTCTTCTTCTGTCTGCCCTCTGATGGATAAGAGGCTTGTGCAAGCTTCCTGATGGGAGGAACAGGCTGTTGGGGAAACTGGGTCTTGCTCGGGTGGGCAGGGCCATGTTCAGTAAATCTTTAATCCAGTTTTCTGCTGAGGGGTGGGGCTGTGCTCCTTCCCTGTTAGTTGTTTGGCCTGAGGTGACCCAGTCCTGGGAGACTGCAATTTCTATGTTAGAGCTAGAGGCTCTGTGGTAGGGCTAATGGCGACATCCTCCAAGAGGACTTATGGCAACACACCACGCCTCCCAGTACTGCTGCTGCTGCTGACCCCATCGCAAGTCATGCCTCTGCAGGAGACCCCCAAACACTTCACAGGCAGGTCTGGCTTAGTCTCTTATGGGGTACTGCTCCTTTCCCTTGGGTCCTGGTGCACACAAGGTTTTGTTTATGCCCTCCAAGAGTCCCTGTTTCCCCCAATCCTGTGGAAGTTCTATAATCAAATCCTGCTGACTTTCAGATTCCCTGGGGATTTCCAGTCCCTTTGCCAGATCCCCAGGTCGGGAAGTCTGATGTGGTGCCTAGAACCTTCAACAGTAAGAGTACTTTGTTATACTTGCTCTCCAGTTTGTGGGTCACCCATCCAGCAGCTCTGTGGTAGGGCTAATGGTGACCTCCCCCAAGAGAATCTATGCCACACAGCGTGCTGCCCAGGACCGCCGCTGCCAGTGCCCCTGTCCCTGTGGCAGCTCACTGCAGACTCACACCTCTACTGGAGACCCTCCAGCACTTACAGGCAGGTTGGTAACCATTGGTTCTCTCTATCTGCAAGTCTGTTTCATTCTTTTACTTTTTATTTCAAAGATTGCACATGTAAGTGAAAACATACAGTATTTGTCTTTCTCTGTATGTTTAAGCATAATATTCTCCAAGTTCATCCCTGTTGCTGAAAATGGCAAAATTTCATTCGTTTTAATGGCTTAGTATTCTTATGTGTATGTGTGTACCCTACATCTTCTTTATCCATTCATCTGTTTATGGATTCTGAGGTTGCTTCTGTATCTCGGCCATTGTAAATACTGTTGCTATGAACATTAGGGTCCGTATATCTTTTTGAATTAGGTGTCTTCATCTTCTTCAGATATATACCCAAGTGGAATTGCTGGATTCTACAACAGTTTTAATTTCAATTTTTTGAGGAAATTCATACTGTTTTCCATAGTAGTGGTAGCAATTTACATTCCCACCAACAGTGTGAGGGTTCCCTGTCCTCCACATCCTCACCAACATCTTTTGCCATCTTTTTAACAATAGCCATTCTGACTGATGTGAGGTGATATCTCACTGTGCTTTTGATTTGCATTTCCTTGGTGATCAGTGATACTGAGCATCTTTTCTTGTGCCTATTGGCTATCTGTTTGTCTCCTTTGCAAAGATGTCCATTTAGGCCTTCTGTTCATTTTTAATTGGGCTGCCTTTTTTTTTTTTGATATTGAGTTGTAAGTGCTTGTTATATATTTTGGATATTAATCCCTTATCAGACATATCATTTGAAAATATCTTCTCCCATTTAGTAGGTGGTCTTTTTGTTTTGTTAATGTTTCTCTTTGCCATGCAAAAGCTTTTAAGTTTGATCAGCTCCCATTTGTTTGTTTTTGCTTTTGTTTCCCTTGCCTGAGGAGACAGATCCAAAAATACATTGCTAAGACTTATGTCAAAGAGCCTATGTTTTCTTCTGGTTTTCTCAGCACCACTTATTGAAAAGACTGTCTTTTCTCCATTGTATATTCTTGCCTTCTTCATCATCAATTAATGGACCATAAGTGTGTGGGTTTGTTTTTCAGCTTTCAATTCTGTTCAATTGATCTGTGTGTCTGTTTTTGTGCCAGTACCATACACTTTTGATTAATGTAGCTTTGTAGTATATTCCCAATGCTTTTACAATTGACCTTAACATGGCATAGAGGACTTGAGTGTCCCTCTCTACCCCTCCAGCCTCTTCTCACACATACTCAGTCTTCATCTTTGAGATGCAGTCATGGTGACCTTTTAACTTCTCTGACTTGCTAAGCTCCCACTGCAGAGTGTTTGCATATGCTACTCCCTCTTCCTGGAATGTTCTTTCCTCTTCTGTGCCCCCTTTAAGTGACTCTTAATATTTCTTCTGATCTCAGCTCAATCATTATTCCCTAGGGAATATTCTCTAGGTATGTAGTCTTATAGTATTACCATTACCCTTTCTTTAATAGCACTTGTCAGAGTTATTAATAATTCTATATTTATGTGATTCTTTATTAGTTGTCTTCCCTCTTAGATGATTTTCTTCTTTGCACTTACCATTTTTCCTGACCCATGTCATAATGCCAGGCACATGTTAAGATATTAAAAAAATATTTTTTAAATGAATGAAAAGGTAATGGAGGAGGGATAATCAAATGCTACTGTTTTTTTGTTTTGTCCTTCTTAGAATGTCAGAGATGGAGAAGCAGTCTAGAGAGAATTAAACACAGTACTCTCATTTTTAAAAAAGGAAATTGAGGCATAGAGAAGTTAAGTGACTCTCCTAAACTCAATGTGAATCAAGTTTTGAACTTGAAAATCCTCCATTGCCAGGGTAGATTCAAAGTATATCTGTGTATTTTAAGCCTATGTGTTGGATTAGGTGAAAGCCATGCTATGAGGAGGAAGATTGTTCAAGATGTGTCTGGTTGTCTCCATTACTTCTCCATCATTTAGCACAATGTCTGGTGCTTAGTAGACTGATTGTTATATGTTAAAATATGCAAAGGGGGAGGGCCAAGGAAGGAATCTGTTAATAAATTAACTTTCTCCCACTAAATGAGAACAAACTTGGAAACAGGGTAGAAGCAAATATTAGTTTTGTTTATATACACTTTATAGAGTTTATTGAATTTTACCACCTGCTTGTAAAGACATGTGCCTATGTTTCCATAAAAACTATTTCACAAACAAAAGATCAGAGTACCCAGCACCTGGTAGGTATCCATAATTTTGTGTCAAGTATGAATCTGTATCACTACCATTATAAATATTTTTTAATTTCAAAAGAAAATAGTGAAGAAATGCATGAAGAGTCTACAAAACAAAGAGCAACTACCCAAAGATAGAGCAAGTGTCTCTTTTTGTTGACTTCATACCTAAGGGTATTTCCTGCTAGTCTAGGAAAACCGAAGTTTAAGAAATGACCTCTATCACTACCCACCCCATCTTTAGGGAAAATTTTCATAGAGAGTGGAGGTAAGCTGTTGTAATAAAATAATGTTACCAGTAGGGTATTTGTAATTGTATATAATCATATCATAATTTTTAAGCATGTTGCTTTTTCTTTTGAGAAAATGTACATCTCCTCAAGTAGAAGACTTTGATATTGCATTAGGGAGTAAGTGAGAAAGAATAAATAAAAAGCAATAAAATGCTTCAGTTTTTTTCCAGGAAGAAATCAATGGTTATGATTTACCTGTGTCTTTTCAAGCTAATGAGGCTATCTCTGGGATTGGGGCTTAATTTAATATGTAATAATTCAGTGTTATCAATATTTGCTCAAATGAGGATTATTAATCAAATTCAGTTATTAGGGGCACATTGTGGGAAGGAAAATAGCAGCAGTCAAAAGCAAGAAGTTTGAAGGTTGAAAGGAAAATAGGGCATTTATGCTGGGTGGGATGATGTGGGTGTATCATCCACTTTCTCTAACCCTTCGCCCACCCCTGAAAATCAGGATATATTTGGAAAAATTTTACTCATCAAGCAGGCAGCCAATGTGGCATCACCGTTATATTATCATCCCATAAGTTAAAGATCAGTGATATGAATTTCAGGAGCCAAGAATTTCATTAACGTATGAGTTCCTGAGCCATGACTTCTAAAAGGAAGACTTTGCTCCATAAACTCTATAAAATAAAGACCATTTGGAGTAGGTGAAAGTTTGTACTGAAATATAATAATTTCCTTCATAGCTGGTATGTGCTAATTCCTATCAGCATCTAAAAAAAGAACATAGGGGTTGACAAGGCATTTTCCTGCTCTTCCTTGAGTGGGTGTGTTTTATTAATAGTAATGAGGCTGAAGTCTCTGATCGGTTTTACTACAGCAGCTTCCCATCCCCAGTAGTCTCTCAAACAGTATTTATGTTTGTAAATACGTTTATGTGTTATGTGTTTGTTTATGTTTATGTGTTATTTACATTTTGATTCCTCTTAGTTCAGATGGAAAAGCATCACTTAAAAGACTGCAGAGGTTCTTCAAGAAAGAAAAACATAGACTTAAAGTGAAGAAAATCAATTCAAGAGAAAATATAAGGTAAAAAGTCCCTTTCTATTTCTTTTTCTAGGAGAGGATTAGCAGTGCCAGCCTGGTAGTTACACAGCTGATGGTCTCCATCCTGTCCTTCTAGTGAAAGGGGTACCAGAAGCGAAAACCACAGCCCTGGGTATCACCTACCTCCTCCTTGCCAGTATTTGAGTGACTCACACACACACACATGCTAGTGAGAAAGTGACAATGCCCTTTTTGAAAAAACTGACAAGGGAAGATTGTGAACAAAGGTAGAGGGAAAGTCTTAAAAAGTCCAGGAAAGGAACTTCCTTGTCATCCTTGGCATATATTCCTGTTGTTACTACTGAGCATTACGTTATTAATTACATTCTTTTATGCTTTCTCAGTCCTACAGGTTCCAGTGGTTTTTGTCTATACTTCCATATTCCAATTTGCCTCTCTTGAGAGAGGTAGTGTGTGGAGAAGGGAGATGAACTTTTCAGCTGAATGGTCCTTGTGTCTCAGTCTTAGCTCTGGAAGGGACCCTCCAAGTTCTCCCTAGCTAATTACCAATGGGAATTGGGAAGGTTACAATTCACGGGTAGGAGAATGAGACTTGACGCCTCGATTCCGGATTCTAGTTTCAGCTCTTCCCTTTATTCAGTGTACAACCATGGGCAAGTCACTTCCACTTTGCATCCATAGGGACCAAGTTTCTTTTAGCATATAATAGGAGATTGCATGATCTCTGAGGGCACTTAAGAGAGGGAGGGAGAGAAACATAGACATAGATCTGTATTTTATGAGGGCAGGGGATGGTAAAATAATTTGCCCCAGGTCACTGTATATATTGACATGGAATTTGTTATTTTACCTTGAAGTTCTTTTCAATTATAAAATCTTGAAGTAACATGAATTTAAGTCTAATTGTATGTTGGATCTAGATCTACCAAGATATTTATATAGTATATGATGTTTACAAATTCTAAACAGTCCTAAACATGGAAGACAGAGTCTAGTTCTAGTGGCCAGTGAGACCCTTAAAGGCATACCTTACTTAGCAGGTTAGATGTTTCTGACAAAATTATTAGCATGGTGCCTGCAGCCCCTTAGAAATTAAATCCAGGTGAGAATGCTGATGTTTTTTACATGTAAATGTGATTTCCTTTTCCTTAGAACTATTCAGTGACGGTTTATGACTTTTAGAACAAATATCCAATCCTTTTTCATTGCAAGTAAATACTATTATGGCAGTCCCCTTCCTACTTGTCCAGCTCCATCTTACTCAGATTTACTCTCAGCTCTACCCCATAACACATACCCTATGTGTAAACCCCGGTGTTTCATGCCTCCTTGCTTTTAACCATGACATCCATAGGTCTGAAATGCATCTGCGCTTCTCTGTCTTCCTTTATCAGAGTTCTAGCTTTCTCTTAAAATTTGGTCAAATATTATCCCTTCTGGGATGCATTCCGTGAATCCCAAACCTGTATTACCGGTTTCTCTTCTGTGTTTCCAAATATCCTGTGCAAATCTTGTAAGATCTATTACAAGAAATCCTTTTCCTTACAGTCAGAGAATCTCAGGGTAAGAAGGGTCCATATTACCTACTCCAACCTACTACACAAGCTTCTCTGCAGCTGTTCCTGAGAGGCCAAATCTCTGTGTCTGCACACCTCTATAGAGGTAAATTCACTACATTCAGGGGAAAATCTGCCAGTTTTAGTAAGGTCTGAAAAGATCTTTTCCCCTTAAATTTTGCCAAAATTTGCCTCTTTGCCTTAAATTTTCAATTATTGCCATGGAGACATACCAAGATATCACAGAACTATGTTTACCTTTTGTCCCCAGGCCTATAGGACTGAGTTTAAATGAACTGCTTAAAACACATGAATTTTTTTTCTACCACATCATACTTCCTTCCATATGATCTCCTTAACTATGAGATTTGAGGAAAACTGGACAATCTACTTAGCCAAGTGTCCTCCCCTACTTGACACATTTAGCATCTTCTGTTTCCACCTGGCCTGGAATTCTCCCCTTAAGTCACCCCTCTGGTTAAACCTGTCCAGCGTCTCCAGAGGGTCATCTCTCTTACCTTGTGTCCCACACAGTGGATGCATCTGACTGGCACCCTGGAGGGTTAGAAGGGAGAAAAAGGATCCTATGGACAGAGAAGGGCTGTGAGAGAGCCTGAGGCTGCCCCATTAGGAAAGTGGGTAAGGACAATCACTGGGGGTAAATGAGCCCATTTACAGGAAGGGGAGAGGTGCTCAGAATAAAGCTGCAGGGAAGGTTTGCTTCATATTGACATTTTCCCCCCAAAAGCATCCAAATCAAGAAACCTAGTCATCACTGTGTTGTTTGAGATGTATCAATGAACACTTCAGAATATGGCTTTTCCCTTAACCCTTTGTGTCTTTTGTCAATTAACAGGGCATTTTCCCTTTCGCTGCCTGATTTAGGTAAGTGACATTCGCTTATTGCTGGAACAAAATTACTCAGTACTGACATTTTAAGTCTGAGAAAGAAGTAGTAATCCTCCCTGAATTCCACATGTAATGAAAAACTGATACATTAAAATCAAGGAAGCTATTTTACATCATAGTAATACTTTGGGGAAGATGGGTGACATTTCTCAAGTGCCTCCTATAGACCAGGCGCCCATTAACATCTAAGAAATAGATGCATTATCCCTTTGTAGGAAGACTTTCGGACTAACATCCATATTTTAGTGACCTAGGATTTGTACTCAAGTCTCCGAATACACAAAGTGTGTGCATTTTACATTTTACCACAGGCAGCTCACCTGAATTAAGACACAGTAATTTGAACATGAACACTTTCCAGTATACATACTAACTGAATCAAGGGTGAGTCACTAGAATATTGTTTGCTTTGCTGTAAAAGCAATAGTGCACAAATTGGCACGGTGCCTGATATATAATGTGCTCACTCTCAATCACACTCTGTAAGAGGGCCATGTGTTTTGTTGTTTGTTAGGGCTCCAGTGATAGTGGCTGCTTTGATTTTACTCTGACTTGGCATTTAGAGTGTATTTTATATTCCACAAATATGAGTTTGCTGCAGTAAATAATGAATAATTATATAAACCTGGTATAATTACATCTCCCAAAATAATCCTTGGTCTATTTTTTTTAAGTCTACTTAGAACAGGCATGCATTTTACCTCCATCCAAATTTATGAATAATTGAACATGAATTGTGAATAATTATGCCAAAAGTTTTCTAACTAGTTCAAGTGGTGAGTCACTTGAATGTTATAGAGTTCTATGTAGAGAGCACCAAGGAATTTGAATAGCCTAAACTGAAAATGTCTAATTATGATTATGTACTAAGTTAGATTCAATTTTACACAAGATTATTATAAAGAAGCAGTTGTCAATGGTTTGAAATAAAACCATGGAAGAAAAATCAACATTACTGTCTATTAAGTTGGTCTTTTCCCCTGAAATTCAGCCCTTTGTTCTAGCAGTGTAACGTCTTTGTCCAGTTCCAGGTTGATGGGAATCCAGTCTAAAATGATCCTTTCAGCAACTCATATTTTTAATAAATCTGCATGAAATGAAATTGATATAAATATTTATGCATGTGAGATACCAGGACATCTCTTTTTTAATCCTCAGCTGAATTTTTCCCAAATGGATTCTTTTTTTGTTTCTTGATCCTTTCAGCCTATCTATAGTCTATGATCAGATTTTGATAAAACAGGCTCAGAGATACATGTGGATAATTAAGTAATTGTGTATAATTTGGAAAGTCAGAGATTGTATAAACTGTATCAAATAACAGACTATTTTTATCCTATCTTGACCCTAGACCTTAGGTCTCAGGAAGTTATTATCTACGATGATGTGGCCATAAACGGAAAACAGCCAGAGTAAGTCAATTTACTGCATTGGTCATCTCTGCTGGTGTTTAAGCCATTTCCTGATGTTTTGTTAACTATGGTCAGAGGGCCATCTCTTTAGATCCTTGGTTACTGGGTGAAAAGTCAAGTTGTAATATATTGCTTCCACTAGGAAGGGGGAACAATGAATAATACCGAAGACCTAACAGTGGTAGGTGTTTCAAAACTCACTGGAGCTTTGTTTCTTACCTTTGAATCTATAGGCTTGAAACTCCTTTCAATACAACACTTATTTAATAACCTCCTATGGAGGATGGCAAGCACCGCCTGGCAGAACCAATGTTCTCAAAGCCTAAACAACTCAAACCTATCAAAGTGTTCCTGCATCCCATCCTCACTGCCAGCCACAGGCAAGCACCGATTGTTTCTCAGCTGCATTACTGCAATGGCCGAATGAAATCCAAACTGCTTAAGAAAACATAAAAGTCATTATTGATGCAGTCCTGGCAAACTCTCAGCCTCGATTGTACTTGCCACTCCACATTATTCTTGTGCTGCATCCATACGGTATTCTCTGGGTGGTCCTTGAACTCATCACGCTATCCAGCATGTCTAAATTGTCATATTTGCCCCAACTGCTTCAGTTCATCCAACAGATATTTACTGAGCAGGTACTATGGGCCAGGCACTGTGCTAAGTGTTGGGTACAAAGCAGTGAACAGACAGCTATAATTCCTATTCCTTTCTGACTGGAGAGACAGATAAATAAATGATGGATAATTAAACATAGGAATTTGATTGCTTTGGATATTTCGAAAGAGACTGGGAATATGCTTTGTGGGTTGAGAGGAGGCTGACAGTTGTTTTAGGGTAGATAGATATCTGGGGAAAGGCTTTCTAAGGTTAGAATTTAAGAAGGAAAGAATTGTTCTACCCATAACACACTTTGCCATGCTTTTTGCTTGGCTGAGTACTTTATCCTTTACTATTTAAACCTGAATTCAAATTTTGCTTTCCCCAGGAAGCAAAAGCTCTCTGAGCTTACCTATTTTGGGTTATGTACCTCTTTTTATCAGAACATTCTTTTCACAGTTGTATTGGTCTTATTTCTTCCCTGTCTCCTCCTCTTAGATGGAAACTTCCTGAGGTGGGGCCTTGGCTTTCTAATGCAATGTATCATGTGGCCTCATACCAAAAGATAGTTTGTTAAATCGGTTAACAAAGAAAGACCTGCTTTCAAAAAATTTGCAAAATGATTTAAGGTCAAAATAGGCAGACATTTCCATTTTTAGGGGATCTGGAAAGCCTGTGCCAAGCTGAAGCAAGCAACCAAGGATAGGAAACATTTTTGTCAGCTGGAGATCGGGGATTGAGAGAGAGAAGTGGGGATGGTCTGCTGTGGGAGAGAGGTGGACAGCTGTGTAAATGGAAGACATGTGTGTTTGGGAAGCTTCACTGGACCATGAGTCACGTGATCAGGAAAGTGGTGTTATAAGCAGGAAATGTTAACTTGGCAGGAGATGGAGGAGAGCCCTGGAATACAAAATTGGAGTTGTAAGAAAACAAAATGTGGCCACACTTTTTGGTGGAAAGACTTCATATTCAAAGTGAATATTTTGAAAGCTTTTTTGATTGGTGAAAGAAACAAACTTGGAATAATGCCATCACAGACTGAGTGGGAATTACCCTTTCACAGGTACCATTCTAATGAGTCAAGAATTTGGTGTTTAAAAGTTTATCTTGAGGGAATAACATGTAATATACTTTGAAATAAAGGTATAATAACCTTATGAAGAAGAGCATTTTAAAACTGATACCATTGTGAATGGGGTGAAATTATTAAAGGAATGACTTTGATAAAGCTTTTTTTTTCTTTATATTTTTTTAAATTTTTATTTTTTCCATTTATTTTTATTAGTTGGAAGCTAATTACTTTACAATATTGTAGTGATAAAGCTTTTATACACAGGCAAAATGTATTCACTACGTTTCTACATAGTGATCTACTTTTAGCTTGTAATTTGTAGTCCTCAAGACTTTCAACAAAAAATAGAAGTCCATCCTTACAAAAAAAAAAAAAGAGGTGGAGACACAGAGGTTAGGTTATTTGCCCAAGCTCACAGCCAATAAGGATTCAAACCCTGGCAACTGGACTCCCAATCCATTCTCTTCACTGCAACACTGAGCTAATTTCCTAGTGATACTTTATCTTGATCTTTCATGATCTTTACCTTGATCTTTTAGTTAGTATTTCCATAGTATACATTTTTTAGCTTTTTTCTGATTTCCATATTCTTGTTCACCGTGTCTTGTATAAATAAAATATAGCTGAATTGGCTTTTTAAAAAAAATCTAATATAATGACTTGTCTTAACTCCTACCTTGCTCTTGACGTAAAGTTTAACCTTCTGAAATATCGTAGTGCTGATAGCATTTTCGTCAGGACAGACTTGTCTTCTGTGCTTGCATATTGCTTACTGCTCTTAGTTTCAATTTATTTGCTGGAGGTTATTAGAATATAGTATGCAGGACTTCATACAAAGGCAAGGTATAGCAATTTGTTAAAAACAAACACACACACACAGATAACCTTTATCCAGGACCTAGTAGTTTTGTATTGGGAGAGCCCTATTTATAGAAAATTCTTTTGCCTGACTGCCAAATAGGGCTTCCCAGGTGGCTCAGTGGGTAAAGAATCCTCCTGCTGCAGGAGACACTGGTTTAATCCCTGGATTGGGAAGATCCCCTGAAGGAGGTCATGGCAACCCACCCCAGCATTCTTGCCTAGAGAATTCCACAGACAGATGAGTCTGGCAGGTTGTAGTCCATGGGGTCACAAAGAGTCAGACACGACTGAGTGACTAACACTTTCACTGCCGAATAAGGGAGTCCAGAACTATGGTCAAGAGGGCAATATAATTAGAGTCACACTTTAGGAAGAGTAACTCGACCTATATCCTTCTGCAGAAAGCTTTGGAGGGAAGGTTGGAAGCAAAATATTTATTGGAATATTATTAAAGTCGCTCAGATGGAACAATGATCAAAATGTGTTCTGAGATGGTGAAAAAATGAAGATACTTTATGATTAAATGATACTTACCAAGTCACTTAAGCCTATCAAAACCTGACCAATTTCTACTTCATGTGATAGAGTATATCTTCTGTAGTATGGCCTCAGATGAATCAATTATTAAAGACATTTGTAGCAGATGGAACACTGATGGAAAACAGCACAATTTGGGATGAGGAGGGAGACAGAAGATGCTATCTGAGTTCTTGTAAGCTTGGGTAGTTTGTATGTCATGTCCTGGTAGGTATTAGGTTGAAGAGATGCCTAAACAACTCTGGATTAAATTGTTGCTGGATAGTCCAGACCTCTGCTTTTCATCTCCTTGTGTTCATTAGAATTCCTCCTAGAGAGTCAGCACGGAAAGGAAGAAGAGGGGGATCTTGAAAAGGACATTGGAACAGCTTCTAGAGTGTGGTGCTAGTGGGGCCTGTGGCATGTCCTCTTCTCTGGATCTTAGTTTTTTAACCTGTGATATGACAAAAAAGCAATCCTTGTCCTGTCAAATTCATTAAGCTCTCTAACCAGATCCCTATAAAAGCTAAAACAAGTTGCAGAGAGGCAAAGAGTTGACCATAATGGTCACATGGCTAGCAGGGGTAAAAATTGTTATGAGTCTTCCAAAAGAACAATATGGTACTATGTATCTACAATGCCCAAACCCTTTCTGTAATTCTGCTACAAGCAATTAGCTCTAGTAAAAAATAAAGGAAACATTAAAATTATATATAAAATGTCTATCTCAGGGCTGTATATAAAAGGAAATGTTTAATACAACCCAAATTCACTAGGAATATTAGTCAACATGACCACTTAAGTGTATGCAAAATAGTTTCCAGTGACATGGGTAAATGGTCTCACTATAATTGAAAAATAGCAGAATGCAAAATTATATATACAGTTTTGATCACAATTCAGTTTCTAAAAGTGCTTAGAAAATGTTCAGAAGGAAACTTGGACCTTTGAGAGGTCAGATTATGCTTAATTTGTCTTTCTTGTAGTTCTGCTTCCAGTTTTTTAAATACCCAGAATACACTGCTTTATAATCAGTAAAGAAAAGAAACTGCTCAGAAGGCATTTGCTTTGCCTATTCCCTGCCCACATGGCTCCTTCCTAACGAGTCCATGCATAAATTCTCACTGAATACTTCCTCTCTGCCTAGCATTGTGATAAGCTTGTAGTAGATACATCTGGAATGCTTGTCTGGATCCCATCTTTTGCGAACCAAAGTAACTGCTGAGCTCCTTGTTATAGACTCCAAAGGCAGTGGACCTTGAGCAAAGAGTGATGGGAGATCCCTAGGCAAGTCCTGGAAAGCCTTCTAGGCAAGATCCCTAAGCAAGTTCTTGAAAGCCTTGGCTAAGCTGCATCTTTCTATTTTACTGAACTATAGCTGACTTACAATATTGGGTTAGTTTCAAGTGTACAGCACAGTGATCCAGTTTATTTTTTTCAGATTATGTTCCATTTCAGGGTATTATACAGAATATAATTCCCTATGCTATACAGTATATCCTTGTTGCTTGTCTGTTTTACATATAGTAGTCTATATCTGTTAATCTCATATTCTTTAATCTCATATTCTTTAATGCTGGTTAGATACTGAGTCCTTGGTATTCTGTTAGGCACTTGGACCATAATCTGAAGGGGATGGTGACACAGTGTCACTGAGAACTTTTTAAATTTCTCTGACATAGTAACCTTGTGGTTATAATTTACCCAGTGAAGAATTCCTGTGTTCTGATGTGCAGACACCACATACATACAAATATCGACAAAGGAAGGGTCAGTTTTGCTCACATCAATGATGAACATATAAATTGCCAACATCCGCTGGATCATCGGAAAAGCAAGAGTTTCAGAAAAATCTCTATTTCTGCTTTATTGACTATGCCAAAGCCTTTGACTGTCTGGATCACAATAAAGTTTGGAAAATTCTGAAAGAGATGGCAATACCAGACCACCTGACCTGCCTCTTGAGAAATCTGTATGCAGGTTAGGAAGCAACAATGAGAACTGGACATGGAACAACAGACTGGTTCCATATTGGAAAAGGAGTACGTCAAGGCTGTATATTGTCACCCTGCTTATTTAACTTATATGCAGAGTACATCATGAAAAATGCTTGGCTGGATGAAGCATGAGCTGGGATCAAGACTGCCAGAAGAAATATCAATAATCTCAGAGATGCAGATGACACCACCCTTATAGCAGAAAGTGAAGAACTAAAGAACCTCTTAATGAAAGTGAAAGGAGAGTTAAAAGTTGGCTTAAAGCTCAACATTCAGAAAACGAAGATCATGTCATCCGGTCCCATCACTTCATGGCAAATAGATAGGGAAATAGTGGCAGACTTTATTTTTCTGGGCTCCAGAATCACTGCAGATGGTGACTGCAGCCATGAAATTAAAAGATGCTTATTTCTTGGCAGGAAAGTTATGACCAGCCTAGACAGCATACTAAAAAGCAGAGACATTACTTTGTCAACAAAAGTCCGTCTAGTCAAGGCTATGTTTCTTCCAGTAGTCATGTATGGATGTGAGATTTGGACTATAAAGAAAGCTGAGCGCTGAAGAATTGATGCTTTTGAACTGTGGTGTTGGAGAAGACTCTTGAGAGTCCCTTGGACAGCGAGGAGATTCCACCAGTCCATCCTAAGGGAGATCAGTCCTGAGTGTTCACTGGAAGGACTGATGTTGAAGCTGGAACTCCAATACTTTGGCCACCTGATGCTAAGAGCTGACTCATTTGAAAAGACCCTGATGCTGGGAAAGATTGAAGGTGGGAGGAGAAGGGGACGACAGAGGATGAGATGGTTGGGTGGCATCACCGACTCAATAGACATGAGTTTGGTTAAACTCTGGGAGTTGGTGATGGACAGGGAGGCCTGGTGTGCTGCAGTCCATGGGGTCCCAAAGAGTTGGACATGACTGAGTGACTGAACTGAACAAGTGAAGAAACATTTTAAAGCAACAAGCATGATCAAAGACTATAGACTTTGTTGTCAAGCACACTTGGATACAAAGTCACTGGGTTCAAAGTACCCTTTCTGTGACCATCATAAGTTACAAATATCATCTATTTCCCCCTTTATAAAACTTTATGAAACACTGATTGTTGCATTGCTTCCTGTAAAAAACACATTACTTAACATATGTAAAATGCCAAGCATAAGACTTGACACACAGGTGCTCAAAAATACTGTTTCTTCCGTAATACCCTCTCCACTCTTTGCATTCTTTTCTGCTAAACATAATTGGGATAGTCCTGTTTCACAGTGAGGGTCCATTTTATCATTCATGTTCTATAGGTGAAGAAACTCAGGCTCAGAAAGGAGAGTAAGTATGATTATGAACAAGTTGATCTCTTGCTTCTGGGTTCTAATTTGCTTTTTGTTTTCTGATTTTTATTTTATATTGGAGTACAGTTGATTTACAATGTGTTAGTTTTGGGTGTATAGCAAAGCAATTCAGTTATATGTATATCTATTATTTTTCAGATTCTGGCTTCAAATTTGGATTGCCACAGATCAGGCGTTAGCAAACTACGGCCTGGGAGCCAGATATGGCCAGACACTTGTTTTTGTGAATAGAGTCACAACGGCAATGTCAAATTGTTACAATAGACAGCATGGCTTGCACAGCTTAAAATATTTACTCTCTGGCCTTGCCATAGATTATCAAAACATGCTTCAAGATGACTTTCTAATTTTTTGGTAAAACACAGTTGCCCAAAAAGTATTGATGTTTCCATGAAGACTAGTTCAATCTTAATTTAGTTGCACAAAATATTTTTCTTCTCAGTGATGAAGATAAAGGAAAATCTTGGAAGCCCAAGTTTTTGGCATTGAAAGAAAAAAAGAAAAAAGGTGCTAAAGAATCAGAAAGGTAAGCATACAAATGCACTCACACTACAGTTTTTCTGTTGCAGTTTATACATCTTACTAGCTGTGTGATCTTGGCAGTTTATTAAATTTGATATTTGGATTCATCATCTACTGAATGAGAATATTAACATCTATATTACAGTACAACAGAAAGGATTAAGAGAGAAAGAGGATATGAAAATGTAAAGTGTCACACACATTTATCATTCCTGCTTTTGGTAGATAGGGAGCAAGAAGAGAATTCTAGCCATCATTTTTTATCAAAGAATGAAAAATTTCCCATCTTCCTCTACACTGTAGGAACCTTTTCCCTCTAAGAATGAACTTAATATACCATTTAGAACTTGAATGATGCCTTGAGAAGAGAAACTGGGTATCATATAGCAAGGCTGATTTCCCTAACATATTGATACAATATAGTTCTAGTGATCACTACATTAATGTTAGAAATAAAACAATGTTTTATTGACTCAAGATCTATCCTTTATTCATGTGATTCAAATTCCTAGGTGGCTGTGGAGGGAGGTGATGTTTTTTACTATCTCTGATGATGGCTTCGTGCTCTGTGCTTCAGTCTTCTCAGTTGCTGGGATCTAGGGCAGGAGCTGAGGCACTTTAACTAATGTCTTGGGGAAATCCTTGTCTAAACAGTCACTGAGCTGAAAACATTGTATAGTCTGTCTACTCTGGGAAATCTGTCCAGAAAAGTCAAAATCAGACATCAGTCTGTACCAAATTTAAACTCAGAGGATGGCAAAAGGGGAGGATGGTCCTTCTCTAAGTTTTTAAGTTTAGACTTGATGTAATTTACTTTTCCCAAGTTGGAAAGATGTATTCAAGACTAGAAAAGCATCTTTCTACCTTTAAACATCACACTTCTACTTTTGCATTTTGTTGTTCAGTCACTCAATCGTGTCCAACTTTTTGCAACACCATGGACTGCAGCACACCAGGCTTCTCCATCCTTCACCATCCCCCAGAGTTTGCTCAAACTCATGTCCATTGAGTCAATGATGCCATCCAACCATCTCATCCTCTGTTGCTCCCTTCTTCTTCTGCCCTCAGTCCTTCCCAGCATCAGAGTCTTTTCCAATGAGTCTGCTCTTCACATCAGGGGGTCAAAGTATTGGAGCTTCAGCTTCAGCATCAGTCCTTCCAGTAAATATTCAGGGTTGATTTCCTTTAGGATTGACTGGTTTGATTTCCTTGCTGTCCAAGGGGACTCTTAACCATCACCTCCAGCACCACAGTTTGAAACCACTGATTCTTCAGCTCAGCCTTCTTTATGGTCCAACTCTCACATTTGTACATGACTATTAAAAAAACCATAGCTTTGACTATATGGACCTTTGTTGGCAAAGTGATGTCTCTGCTTTTTAATATGCTGTCTAGGTCTGTCATAGCTTTTCTTCCAAGGAGCAAGCATCTTTTAATTTTGCATAGCATAGCAAAACAAAATTCCAAGAAATGAAGTATCAGTGAAATTTTTTACTTTCCCCATCTCCTGCCAAAAAAAAGCTTTCCTCAGTCCATGGGATTCTCCAGGCAAGAATGCTAGAGTGGGTTGCCATTTCCTACTCCAGGGGATCTTCCAGATCCAGGGATCAAACCCACATATCCTATGTCTCCTGCATTGCAGGCAGATTCTTTACCCGCTGAGCCATTGGGGAAACCCACTATTTTAATGACTATACATAGGAAACAATCTTCTAGTGCTTTATTTCTTACAACAAACTGATATATTATAGTTGTTTTCCTCAACTGAGTAATTTGAAAATGCAATACTGAGTTTAACATTATTCTTGTAGATTGATGTATCAATTTCTATGCATTCTTTGTTCCTTTTTATTTTTATATATTTATTTCTTTCTTTGTGGGAGTGAGAGAATGTGGTGAAGTATGGAAGTGACTCCTCTCTGATCATGTGGAACTTCCTCAGTTTAATGTAAAGTGCTCCTGACTCCCTGAGTCTTTGTTCCTTTTTAAATGATTTTTTACCATAACTTCCTCTACCAATAAGTAAGCATTACTTTTTTAGTGTAATTTTAGTGCAACCCTTTTATTATCCCTTTATTAATCAGGATGATGGCCAGTTCTCAGAGAAGTTTGAGGGCGGTTTTCTGGTATAAAGCCTTGGAAATGACAGCACACCTAAGATGTTCCATGTAGACTTTGAATGTTATGTGGAAGAGGACAGCTGAAAAGGGGGGTTGGGCCAGATTATAAAATACTCTGTGTACAACACAGTGGGGTCTGACTTTATCTTACAGTAGGGGCAGCAGAGACAGACCGGGAGGTTTTAAGCAAGGGAGTGATACGATCAATTAAAGTTTAGAAAGATGACTCTGGAGGCAAGTATGCAGACAGATTTGAGAAAGAAGAGGTAACAATAACATGGTATAAAATTATACACATAACTATACCTGAATATATCCTGAAGTAGAATGAGTTTATAGCTTTGGAAGATAAAGAGTTTTATTATATACAGTAACACTTAACCCTACCTGCACATTTCTTGCCATCTTCTAGGAGTTTCTTCAAAACCAAGAAGCAAAATTTAGAAAGGGACAGGATGAAAAGAGAAGAAAGACTTTTTAGAGAAAGATTCAAGGTATGTTCTCTGAAGGTAAACATTAACAGAGGAATTAAATTTTTTTTTTAAAGATTCTGTTAAGTGTGGTGTACATCTGCCTCTCTGGGACTGTCATGATCTTTGATTAAACATGCGATAGGTTAATTTTTCCTGATACATTTCTGTATTATCATGCCTTTGTACATGCTATTTCCTCTGCCTGGAAAAACTAAGTTGTTCTTTAAGACTCTGTTCAAATGTCATCTACTCTTCCCTGACTCCTTGAGCCAAAGTGTGTGTGTGTGTTTGTGTAGTCTGAACTAAAGTCTGAGTCACTTTTAAAGGACAGATTTTTGTCTTGTTCATTTCCCCTTAGCTCCCAACATAAAAGTGGGTACACTGAATGATTAAACAACTCTGTCACTGAGTCCATGGAGCGTTTTTCTGTAATTTCAAGGTTCAGACACACCTCCCTTTTGATTTCATGTACTGTCACAGTGAGAATTATTAAGGAACATACACTGAACACCTCCCGCATACCAGACATTGGATGGAGAGTTACATAAAGCTCCTCATGTCATGACCTCCGTCCTTCTGGTTTTATTTCTCGCCATTCTTCTGCCGTGCTCTTTGTGCCTTGGCAACAAATTGTTCGTCGTTCTGTTTCTTGAATGAACATCCACCTCCATCCTCGTCCTGCTAGTTCCTTCCTCAGACATTGACCTGAGCCCTTCCGGACACACCATCAGGTGTGCCCTTGCTACTTCTCCATCTGACTAGCACCTGTTCACTGTGATGACCTAGTCGAGGCGTCGCCTCTAGGAACTCACGCTTGCTGATTAAAGAAATTACTCTTCCTCTACAATACTTTCTACCTGAGCAAACCTCTAGCTTATCACAAAACATTAGCATTGTTGCAATACATGTTCATCAGTTAAACTATGAATTCCTGGAGGACAGGGTTTATATTATGTATCCTGTCCATGTAGCGAGCATAATAGTAGTACCTACTGCTAAGTCTCTTCAGTCCTGTCCCAACTCTGTGTGACCCCATAGATGGTAGCCCACCAGGCTCCCCCGTCCCTGGGATTCTCCAGGCAAGAAGGTTAGTGTAGTACCTAACACTGTATGAAAATGTTTTTGGACTCAACTTAGGAATAAGCACAAAAACTTCTTAATCATTAATAAGTTCTGCTTGAACCAAGCTAATTAGGGTTACTAGATCTATAAATTGTAATATGAAATTACTTACTGTAAACCATGACATTATTTGATTAGTTGAAAAATGAGTGTGTAACAATTACTTGTTGAAAGGACCCTATGTTCCATCTAGTGCTTTTATTCCCCAATGTATTTGTGACACTCTCATAGGCAGCAGAAATTCCCATTCTCTTGAGTCCATTCTTCCCAATCACCTGTGGTGAGTCTCCTTGATATATCATTAGGAAAACTATACAGTTTCAATAATTTTTACTCACCTCAAATCACACCCAACCAAAATATTGGGTACTTCATTTTGTGTGAGGCACTGAGGGTGCAAGAATGGATAAAACTTCCCATTTTTATTTTACGAGACAATATGTTCATTAAACGCCATCATGGGGTACATACAAAGTACAGTTAAAACAGTAAATTATACAGGGCAGTCATGAACGCCTTCATGAATAGTGCTTAAGAGAAAAAAAGCACTTCAGGCAGAGAAAACAGCAAGTGCAATGGCATGGAAATATGGAAGGTACACAGTGCGTTCAGGATTATCATATAGCTTGGTGAGGCTTCAATGAAGGGAAAAGAAAGAGGAGGGGGATGGGGAATGATGTTGTGCAAAGGACCCTAAATGTCAAACTAAGATATCTGAGTTTGAATGAAGAGTTTTTAGGATTTTATTTTAAAAAATCAGATTTGCATTTTAAGAAATCATTGTGAACAGTGATCTGGAAAGGGTAAGATCAGTTAAGAAGCTATTACTCTAGTAGGCAAAAGAAAAACCTATCTTGTGGATTAGATCACATTTGGTACCCATCATAATTCATCATCCAAATCCAGGACACTTCTGAGGGGAAGGAGGCACACTTAATCATAGTAAGTATTTATAACTTGAGACATTAAATATAGAGACTATCCTGAGCAAAGGAAGATGTGTGGCTACCCTAACTTAGTGAAGCAGATATCTGCAAGTATAAGCTACATATTTTAGAACTTTTTCCAATAAATGGATTTCAATACATTAAAAGGTGGTGTACCTGTACATGGCTAGATTGGCTAGTTTTATAACACAGAAAAAAAAAAAACTCTCCTAAGGTTAGAAATCGAATCCCTCAGTTGTTCCACAAGTAATTGTCTTTAACCACCAAGGGAGAGTGGGACCTGTTCCCACACACCATTCCTAAAGTGAAAGTTGCTCAGTCGTGTCTCATTCTTTGCGACCCCATGGACTTAGTCCATGGAATTCTTCAGGCCAGAATACTGGATTGGGTAGCCTTTCCCTTCTCCAGGGGATCTTCCCAACCCAGGGATTGAACCCCGGTCTTCCAAGTTGGAAGCAGATTCTTTACCAGCTGAGCACAAGGGAAGCCCAAGAACACTGCAGTGGGTAGCCTATCCCTTCTCCAGCGGATCTTCCAGACCCAGGAATCAAACCGGGGTCTCCTGCATTGCAGGTGGATTCTTTACCAACTGAGCTATCAGGGAAGCTACACACCATTCCTACCTCTTTAAAATATGTGTGCTGCTGCTATTAATACATGTATGCAAGAATATATGAGCCCACTAAAGAGGAAGGGTGGAAAGAGTGCCATCTAGAATGCTATATATATAAGAACATTATAAACTCTAAAGCACTACTACACAAAGAGGTTTTCTGTTTCCCTCTTTTTATAACTTGTCCTTTCCTGGGTTTACTGATTGACTTCATTACTGGAACAATTAATATACCATTCACAATACTTAATTTATACCAATGTTACCACCTTCTCACCTCCCAGAATTCCTTCTACTACAATTAGATAATGGATATGAAAACATTTTGAAAATATCTTACCAAACAAATGTAAAGGTTGTGATAATAAATAAATGTACTATTATTTCTTTAGATAACCTTTCTTTCCCTAAATATCTTGCTATTTCCTTTTTCCTTAAACATTAGTTAACAAATATCTGGCCTCTTGAGTTTATTTTGAGGTTACCGTAGTATGTCCTCCATTAATGTTGTTATAATGAAAAAGAATAAGTCTATGCAAGCATGTTCTGATTAGTAATTTTTTCGTTCAGTATGACAAAGAGATTACTGTCGTCAACACAGCAGTGGTGTGTTCCAATAATTCAAGAAATGGAATATCTGACTTGCCAATAACCCCTGGAGAAGAACTGGAAGTCATTGATATCACTGAAGAAAATCTAGTGATATGCCGCAATTCTGAAGGCAAATGTAAGTTACTAGGTTATTGCCCATAAGATTTCAATCACTGCTTTTGAAAAAAACTCAAAGCATTATAACTTTCAGATTAGTAATAGTGACTTTTATTTCTATAGATGGACATGTGCTAATTGAACATCTAGATTTCAAGTAAGTGGTTTGACTTTATACTTTAAATCAAATTCTGAATACTTAATACATTACTGTGTACATGAGTCTCAAGGAAAGACTACTGCATATATATACTTCAGGAAAAGTTTGTAAATATGCAATGCTCTATTCTATAAGGAGGACTTCCCTGGTGGCTCAGATGGTAAAGAATCTGACTGCAATGTGGGAGACCCAGGTTCAATCCCTGTGTCAGGAAAATCCCCTGCAGAAGCAAATGGGAACCCACTCCAGCATTCTTACCTAGAGAATCCCATGGACAGAGGAGCCTGGCAGGCTACACCAGTCCATGGGGTCACAAAGAGTCGGACACAACTAAGCAACTAATTCTTTCTTTATTCAATAAAACTTACTTGGAAGAGCAATTTTTTTGCCTGCCACTTCTGAGTATGTTATCAGACTTCTCTAAAGAGCATATTTGTAAACATTTTAAAGGAGTATAAGAATATTAAACTGAATAAGAAATTCCCCCCAAATCTCTTCCTCTTCCATGGGCCTGTATTTCAAAGTGTTTATTTCTCCCTTTTTCCCTCAGGAAACAAGTTTGGTCACCTTAGAGAGATCAAGATCAAGTGGTATGGTCTGCTCAAGTGTGAACTAGTTCTAAGGTCTCAGCCCTGCTTTACATTAGTTTATGTTGCCAGCATGAGATGGTGGAATCTGTGGAAATTTTCGTTAACAACTTAGAAAAGAAAAATCCTCCACATTTAGATGTTGGTTTTACTACTAAACAGTTATCTTTCAATGTCTATTTCAGTATGTATTTCACTGCTGGCTCAAAATGTGAAACAGTGTGTGTTGGCATTTGAGCACTTGTTTAATGAGCCATGTCCAAAGTTAGAAATCATGCCTTATGGCACCTAGTCAGTTGTGCAGATGGTTAGTTTGCTTCTAATATTAGTACACGAGTGTTTATAATTTCAAGATGATGTTGTGCATTTAAATTGGGTGTAATTTAATTCTGATAAATAAATAGTGTAACCAACATCTTTCAAATACTCCAATTTCAGGTATAATCCTAAAGCAGGAGGACATTTCTCGTTGATTTTTATCATAAAACTAAAAATCTAACAAATGTTGCCAAAAATTAGTTTCTTTGGGAATAGGATGCTAAAAAGTAGTTTTTTCCTAAATTCACCCAACATTTTGAGAACTGCCTAAATATGTTTAATAACATTTAAATTATATACTGTATCTGTTTAAAATAACCATTTTTTACTTTAGACAACAGGATATTATTTTGTTTATGCCTTAATGTGTATTAAAATAATTTATAAGTATTTTTACTTACAGAGAATAAAAATAAGCTGAGCTATAAATAACATTCTATTTTTCAAATGATGTACATGGCATGTTAGGCGGGGTGACTCTGACCTTCAAGGGCATGATCCATGGCCTCATCCTCTATACTGTGACACTATTTTTTAAGCTTGTAGGTTCTTTTATCTTTTTTTTTCTTGTTCCAAATGGCATGTGCCAAGAAAAGCCAGGCTTATTCCAGATGAAAAGTATCAAAGAGCTTAGAGAGGAAAATAGGTGGAGAGATTATTACAAATAACAGTTATAACAACATATAGGGGACACCGAAACTTGGTCTTTAAACGTAATATATTTGCTGGACAAGACACAGAGAAGTCGATGCCCTCCCTGGTGACCAGGGAGAAATTCAAAGTAGAAGGCGCCTAGTGTATCTGGTAGGAAGTAGCAAGAGCTGAAATGGGGTGAACCAGGGCTAGAATGTAACAGAGGTCACTTGGACTTTTTCCTCTAGAGAGTAGGAACCATCCAGAGGTCTTAGGCAGGAAGACAACACCAGATGTCTAGAGAGAAAAGGAAAAAATAATCATGGTAATATGGGTGACTGAATATGGATGACAGATAACGAGGAGAGACTAGTCATCTTTGCAATATTCAAGGCAAAAGAGCACTAAACCTTAATTTAAGACAGCCACAATAGAAGTATATATAGTACAGGAGCCCCATCAGAGGGAGAGGTAAGAGAGAAACAGGATTGAGACGTGACTATGAAATTTCTTTTTTGGGAGATGAGATTAAGGCTGACACCAAAGACCCGGAATATATTTCTGCATGGACCACGCCCACCCAACCCCTCAAATTAAATTTACTCTCTGAGAGGCAGGGCAGCCAGGCAACTGCAGCCGTCTCCCACACCGCAGGCACTGTAGGAGAGACAAGGAAAGGTGTGGCCCAAACTGAGTGAGAGGGAGTGCAAGGCTGTGTTGAGCAGAAACCATTCATGCAATGCTCCTATACAAAGAGGACCAAAACCTACATCTCACTCTTGCCACCTCACCAAAACATGACCTTAGATCCTGAGGTGACAGTGGGACTCAATTTTACCTGACACAGCTCTGTCCCATTCATGTTGTCTTGTGGCATGGCCTGTATTCTGAGTCCATGACTTAGCTCTGAGTCTCTTATTTCCTCATCAGTAAAGCAGCACTAATAGCACTCACCTTGTCTACATCTCAGGACTATTGTCAGGCTGTAATAGAATAATATAGATAAATAAGTGTCCTAAAACCCTTAATACAAAATACAGTATAAGTGTGGTTATTTTAGTACCTGGCCTTTTGTGAAGTTGGAAGATGTTGAACACAAAAACAGGTTTTTGAAATTAAGACTTGAAAGACTGGCTAGGATATCTTGACCTCTCAGATTCAGAAATCATCTGTAAGGGAGATCAAGGCAAAAAGGCTGATATGTACATCACTGCATAAACCCTGTGAGTGTGATATGGCCTCATAATCAATCCAAGGTGTCCTTAGGTGAATCAGGCCATCTGCTCTATTTCCTAAGGAGTACAGCCACTTCTGATGGATCCCACAGCTACCAGAAACATTATTAGGGAAAAACTGTCATCATTACTCCCCAGAGAAGGATGACAACCCACTCCAGTATTCTTGCCTGGGAAATCCCATGTAGAGAGAGGAGCCTGATGGGCTTCAGTCCATGGGATAGCAAGAGAGTCACTATAATTTAGCAAGAAATCTTTTATGCTAGTAAATCTACTAGCCAAGAAAAGAGGATAAAAATCATATAATGAAAAAGAAGCATGTTGGTTTCAGTAAATTGTTAAAATTGGATGATACTAAGATGTTAATAAAATAATCCAGTCTTTAAAAGAAAAAAGAATGGCTAGGATATAAAAATTTTACATAAATATACTTAACAGGTTTTTGAAACAACACTTTTCTATGTTTTTAAAGTATAAACCATTTGGTCTAATATAGACAAATACCTAATAACTACTGATATGGAATATATTTTTAGGAAAAACATTCCATCTATATCAAAGTAGTTATTTCTATTTCATGATCAGCCACATTCCTTCCATTCTTTGAATCACAGTGTATGAAGGTCAGTTTCAATGCTACTAATCTACAAAGTCCCTTAATGCAAACATTATAATTTCAGTGATGTCTCAAGCAGATGTCATCTGTCTCCTAGAAACCCTAGTCTAGCAAAACATTTCAATGTAAAGACTTTACATTTAACTTTTTAATTTTAATTTTGTATCAAAAGATATCATTAGAGATGACAATATTCTGTCAGAGAAAAACAGCTTGCAAAGGGACCTGAACCTAACAGAGATTAAAGACACCCTCATTCATGTATAGGCCAGGCCACCAGCAACCTGCTAACATGCACCGACAGAGCCGTCCCTTCCTCCTTTCCAGTACCTCTGAAACACGTGGTCTTCTAAGCCACCATAGCATTCTCTCCAGCAGGGCCTCTCCCACATATGTTCAGAACTTTTAAAACATAGGATTTTAGAGGGAAGCAGAGGAAGAGAAAAAAGTCAGTACATAAAGACAAACTGCTAAGAAGTGGTTGTTTCTGGGTAACAGGGATAAGACTTCAGGCTTTCAACAGTTTTTACACTGCTGGCTGCTGAGAACAGAGAACAGCAATGTAGATGCAGTCCTATGTGCTTATGATGGTCACCTCCTGTATACTTTCTGAAAAACATCCAAGTTGAGATTTATAAGAGTTTATTTTCTTTATCCAAAATTTGAAGAGAACATATTTGTTTTTGTTACTGAATATCTTTTCCCTTTATTTCCTAAATTGTATAGGTAATAGATGCTTATTGTAGGAAATCAGAAAAGTTTAGAAGTTTGAGGAAGCAAATAGAAATCTTATAAATCTCAACTTGGATGATTTTCAAAAAGTATATGGGAGGTGACCATCATAAGCACATAGGACCACATCTACATTGTTCTCTATTCTCAGCAGCCTTCAGGGTAAAACTCTGTTGTAAGCCTGAAGTTGTCTAGGCCTTTCCCTTCCTCTCCTATGATAAGCAGAATTTTGGCTTCAGTGATCTTCTTATCCTGACTTTAATACCTATAAATATGTTATGTGACTTGGGGAAAAAGAAACTTTTTACATGAAATTAGGTTTGCTTACCAGCTGACCTTAAAATAGGGAGATTATTCAGGTAAGCCCTATTTAATAGCATGGACCCTGATAACCAGAGCAGTCAGAGAAGTAGTGAAGAAGAGGCAGGAAATGTCTGAAGCATGAAGCCTTTGTTACTCGCTTTGAGTATGAAAGAAGCCATGGACCAGGCAATGATGCTGGTCTCTAGAAACTGCAAGTGATTCCCAGTGAAGAGCCAGAAGGGAAACGGGCCTGCAGTCCCACAGCTGCGTGGAACTGAATTCACCACCAACCTGAAACAGATTCGGCCCAGAGCTTTTCCCTACTGCTGCTCTGGTTGTCGGCCTGTGTTGACTTGATGCAGAAACACCAGCTAAGTCCACAGAACTTCTGACTTACAGAACTGTAAGATAATAAATTTGTGTTAAGTCACTAAGTTTATAGTAACTTCTTATAGCAGCAATAGGAAACTAATGCAGTGGCTAAAGTTAGAAACTACAGTTCACAACAAGGAAGACAAAAGTGGACAAAGATGGTATGGAATCTCCAAGGGGTCAGCGGCAACCAAGTTCTACAACAGCTTTGTCTGCAACTATTAAATGACATGCAGAGTATCAATGATTGAATAGAAACAAAAGAGCTTTCAAATTAACCAGAGACTTTAATTTGATTTTGTGAAAAAAGCTTGGAAGTAATCATTTCTCTTTTGTGTTTGTTACCTGTGAGCTTGTACAGTGCAAATATTAACTAGGGAGAACCTGTAACTATGAAATGCTGTGTAATTCAAGAGGACACCCATAGCACACAGTTGCTGGAAGACAGATCCTTCCACTGATCATTTAACATTCACAAAAAATATATATATATATATAACAAAACTGAAATTTTCATCTATGATTATTAAAACACAAAAGCACTAAGAGTCTGGTCTTTTTTTTTTTTTTCTGTTTCTTAAATGAATTATAAAACATGATCCCAATTTTAACAGTTAAAAAAATTATCTTACTAGATATGTAATCAAGTGCTTTGATGGGTAAATATATCAGCCTATGGAATTTTTTTCCCAAAGATGTTCCTGAAGTTTTTTTGAACAATATCCAACCTTATATTTTCTTATGATTGTCATGGATACAACAACCTAACGGCTGTC